GTGCTGAATCGATTCTACGCTTCCAGGAACGTAGGATGCGACTGAAATCTCGAATATTTTTCTTTGTCCCAAATCGAGAAAAATCGACACGGATAACATGGACTAAATTTTTCGGGTCAAAATGGAAATTTCGCCGATAGGGTCGGAACCAAGTAAGCTCGCTTGGAATTGACCCTTGACCGATTTCGGTATCGAATGTGAGGTTTTTTTCCAAACACTATTCTGCTTTCATTTCTCTTAATGTTGCCGATTTTTGGGTTTAAAATGATTCTTTAGACTCATGCGCAGGGGCTATCGTCCTTTTTTTTGCTGAAAATTCAAAATCTGCCGAGTTTTTTTTATCTAAAAGATAAAAAAAAAGCGACAAAATTCTATCCAAAAATATTTTGCAGGGGGCGAGTGTATGGTATGTGTACACGTAAAATTGCGAAAAATCAAAATCTTGACTGATCCTTTTTTCGAAATACGCGATTTGAGATTTTCATAGTAAATGCAACTTTTCCACTGATTTTGATCCGATATTTTATTTATTTGTACATTGAATCGGTGTTGATCGGTTAACGTTTTCATTTTTCGTTCGATTCATGTCGATCATACATACCCTCTCGTTACACGCACACTTCCTTTCATACCCTTTTTTTTTTTAACTGAAAAATTCGTTTTCAGCTGCGTCTGCGGCAATTGTTGTTACGAATATGTTGTGCGTGCTGGTTTCAGGTCATTACATACACGAATCTCTGAAGGCGTTTTATGTGCGAGAGCAATTCGCATTCAGCTGCGTCTGCAGCAATTGTTGCTACGAATATGTTGTGCGTGCTGGTTTCAGGTCATTACATACTCGACTCTCTGAAGGCGTTTTATGTGCGCAAGTGGCGTACCCTGTTGGAGAACTGGCGAATTGCTCTCGCACACAAAACGCCTTCAAAGAGTCTAGTATGTAACTACCTGAAACCAGCACGCACCGCATACTAGCAACAACAATTGCCGCAGACGCAGCAGAAGGCGAATTTTTCGGTTAAAATAAAGAGTATGAAAGGAAGGGTGCGTGTAAAGAGAGGGCATGTATTCGATCGACTTGATTCGAACAAAAAATAAAAACGTGAACCGATCAACACCGATTCAATGTACAAATAAATAAAAAGTGGATCAAGGTCAGTAGAAAAGTTGCATTTACTATGAAAATTTCAAAGCGCGTATTTCGAAAATAGCACTAGCCAAGATTTTGATTTTTCGCGATTTTAAGTGTGCACGTACCATGGACTCACCCCGAGCAAACCATTTTTGGGTTCATTTTTGTCGCATTTTTTTTTTTTTTTTGCTTGAAAACCACTGTGTATCTCGTATCTCAGTTTGCAACGTTGCAGACTTCCTGTCATACATTATTTTATCATGAAAACCATTCAACGTCAATTTTTTAAAACCCCGGGATTTTAGTTTGTTACATCCATATTTTTGGGCAAAATGAGAGACGACAATTCTCCATTTGCGACGTTGCAGAGCTCCTTAGGAATTTTATTTTTCTTTCGAGAAGCTGGTCAACATAAAACTTAAATTCTCTATGTTTTTTCGCATTCGATAGCAGCAGATTTTGTTCAATATTTAAAGTCGTAAATTAGGATTTTTTCTCATGGAAAAGACGAATTAAGAACGGAAATTTTGGAACTTTGCAATGGAGATACATGGTTTCGCACTTCAGTCGGTGCGATACGGACAGCGATCAAGTTTAAAAAGTTGCATCAAGTACCCATCACCGCCGACCAACGCGTTTGTCGATCGAATCAACTACAGGTAGTATGAGCAGGGACGCGTTTTTCGATCGAATAAACTTCAGGTATTCTGCGTAGGAAGTCAAAACGCCTTCAATTTTTTTAACGCAATACGGACATCCGTCGAGATTGTATAGTTGTATCAAGGCGCCGTAGCAAACGCGTCCCATTGTTTATCGTTACAGACGAATATAAGTTGAGAGAGGAATGTCATAATGCGTTCAATATTTTATACATACATATTTTTGGGCAAAATGAGAGACGACAATTCTCCATTTACGACGTTGCAGACTTCCTTAGGAATTTTATTTTTCTGTCGAGAAGCTGGTCAACATAAAACTCAAATTCTCCATGATTTATCGTATTCGATAGCAGAAGATTTGGTTCAAAATTTAAAGTCGTGAATTTGGATTGTTTCTCATGGAAGAGATGAATTAAGAACGGAAATTTTGCAACACCGCAATGGAGATACGTGGTTTCGCACTTCAGTTGGTGCGATATTGACAGCAATCAAGTTTGAAAGTTGCATCAAGTCCCCGTCACCGCCGACCGACGCGTTTGTCGATCGAATCAACTACAGGTAGTATGAGCAGGGAGTCAAAACGCCTTCAATTTTTGAACGCAATACGGACATCTGTCGAGGTTGTATAGTTGTATCAAGGCGCCGTAGCTAACGCGTCCCATTGTTTATCGTTACAGACGAATATAAGTCTAGAGAGGAAAGTCATTCTGCCTTCAGTTTGATACGTACATATTTGTGGGAAAAAAGAGAGACGACAATTCCCCATTTGCGACGTTGCAGAGTTCCTTAGGAATTTTATTTTTCTTTCGAGAAACTCGTCCACATAAAACTTAAATTCTCCATGATTTTCCGCATTCGATAACAGAAGATTTGGGTCAAAATTGCACTATATCTGTGATTTTTAACGAGAAATTATGGGGGGGGGGGATTTTTGACACTGAAAACTTCAGAGTGACTGAGCGGTGTGCCTGCCTAAAAATCTCCCTTCCCCTTATATCAATGCTTGATTAATGTTAAATACTCATATCAGATATTAGTAATGGACCCATGCATATTTTCTAGGATCTGCGATTTATTCTCCTTGTTCGCATCCAAAGGAGCTTTAAACTTTTATTCCCAAAAAGGTTCGGCAGTTCAGAGAGGCAAAGTTATAACCAGAGCTGCAGTGAAGCGCTCGATCAGAAAGCACCCGTCAGTTTAAAATTGCCGCCGGTAGAAGTGCGGGAACTAGACATTTTTAGCGGGAAAAGTATTTGTAACGCAGCGTTCTCTAGCGGCACAAGAGTAAACTAAGAACAGTTTCAACCCATCTCATTGGTTGCCTCTCAGCTCACGTCTTTCTCATCTTTCAAATTTGTGGCGCCAATTTTAAATCGACGGGCCTTGATCCCACGAGCGCCTTTTCTACTGGCACGTTCTGTGATGGCTTAAAGCGAGGTTACTTCCTCCATAATATAATTAACCTAACTATGCTTCCACAAGTTCACAGTTTAACGGTGAAAGTCCCTAAGTAACAATAAGTACTTGTCTCAGTTCATGGCCGCGGCGCGGCGTTGCCGTTGCCTTCTTTAATTTTATTGTAAGGAAAAAAGCCGTCTGAACCTTCAGGCGTTGCCAAATTGTCTGTGATAAAACACGAATTCCCTGGTAAACTTATGAATATTTTTTTCCCAATTTTTCAGAGAATTTTGTTCGTGCTTTGATCTAAAGTTCCTGAAAATGTCAAGGAAAAATATTCATAATTTTCCTCAAGAATAAACATTTTATCAAAGGAAATTTGCCTACTCTCGAATGTTCATATGGTGTTTTTCCTTAGCACGGCGGAATACTCCAAGGCATCCCATGGGAACTTCCGTGAATGTTCCTCTTCAGCTGTCCGAGGTAAAGTCGATCATCATGATATCATAATGTGAATTGGCCGATTCTCCTATACATGATACTTATATTAGCATGGCACGAAATCTTTATATCAGTAGCATGACATGATAGCTATATCAGCAGCATGGCATGACAACATATATCAGCATGACATGGCATCTGGCTACTATCAGAATATCCTGATGTTATACTGATTTTCCTTGCCAGAGTATTATCACACTGATATCATGTTGAGCCCTCATGATATCATTCTGATCGACTTACCTACCAAGGGTTGTGAAGAATATTCCTTGAAAATTCCGAAAAAAGATTTTATCCGTCCTTCATTATTAGAAAAAATAGACTGGGATACTTTATATTTTGAAACACTGTAATCGCGGTTTGTGGTTCGGGAATTTCACCGTCAGTTACCCTCCAGTTTCAGCTCTGGAAACACATAGGGTCTTTATCTATTAATCAACGATCTTTCAATGACTGAAAAATTATCCTGATGAGGGCACGGATTGGTATGATGTGCGCACTTTTATCGCCATATCCATCAAAATATTTTACTTGAAAAATCGGGAAGTCACGTAAATATCCGAAAATATAATTCAATCACTGCATATCTCAGCGTTAATTTATTTCCAAAGTACCTCGTGCGGGCTCTGGTATGATTTTATATACTGCATTGAAAATCAGTGTTTCTTAGCGAGATCAAACATACTGTTGGTTGAGTCACCTGTAGTTACCTCTATTGGTGCTAAGGCGCTACGTACACCAGTGACTGCTCCTTCAGCAATTTATCCAAATTAGAACCCAACATCGCAATCATGGATTTTTTGGGTTTAAAAGAGGCCTCCATTATGTGACTTTAAGTACGCTGTTCTTTCGGACTCTTTGTTTGGTCTGAATTCAAGTGAATTAGGAAATAAACTGGCTCAGGACCTTAATGCTAAATTTGTGTAATTTGGAATTTGATATCAGAGCGTCATTCACAGAAGCGTACCTTGGTTTTTCTCTCATTATTACCAATAGTTGAAATTACTTTAAAAAATGCTTCCAGAGTTTTGCAGAACATCTCTCCATAGCCACCTCCAAAAATTATTACCTTCCTACCCTAAAACATATGAAATGCAGACAGTTTTTTTGCTCTCCTGAAAAATATTGTTTTCCAAGTAATACTCTTCTCAGCAGTTCCACTGGCGAACTTTAACTTTAAAATTTGATAGCTTGTTCCGGTTTTACTGCTACTTGAAAAACAGCAAAAATCATTACTTTCATTCTAATCATCTGAAATTGTAGACAATTTTTTCTTACACTGTGGGCTAAGTGCATGTTTATTGGATTTCTAGAGCAAAAGATGGAGACAGCAATTCGGAAGGAGATGCAGCAGAAGAGAACGCAGATGTAACAGGAGATGTCACTGATCCTTTACCTCCAATACATCCAGCCCCTACAAAACTGTTATTAGGCAATCCTGAGAATGACAGCAGACGTAGAGACCTGAAGTACAGAACATGCTGTACACGAGCTAAACATATCTTCCCGCATCCTAAAATGACGATCTGTGTGCTAATCATAATTCTGGCGCTCCTCATATCAATTACTATAATTGTGTGTAAATTGAACCAAAATTGTTTTTGAGGTATTCAAAACAAGAGGAATAATAAACACTTAACATTTATTTTAACATTATTGCAACTTCAGATCACAATATTTATAAATATACAATTGACAACAGAGGACTAGTTCAAGACTGTTTCAAAAGATGTACACTATTTGAACTTAAAAGCCTTGAAGAAGCCGTTAAACAAACAAAGAAAAAAGAAAGAACCATAAAATATATGGTACATTACCAGATGAAAAATTTAAGCTGAAATTCTACCTTGCAGGTATGATTTAGATTTGACTCCAGAAAGCTATGTGCTGTGAGAAAGCATACCATGAATGATATGGTTTGACTTAAGTAGAGACAAAAAAGTTGTCCTACTTGTCCTGAGAATTAAAAATTCGGGCTGTAATATTTGTAAAATGTATTTCATTACTGATGAATGAAACAAGGTGGCATACATTTAAAAGTAGAAAAAAAGTTTAAAATAGAAAATTCCATTATTTACAAATTTTATCCTAGCTTTTCTGCCGGCTAAGAACAGAAAAGATGGAAGTATGGATTATCTACGTTTCTGAACTCCTTTTTAGAGTTCACTAGCTTGATGGTCATTTAGAATAATTTAAAGATTATTAAGCCATAATGACTGAAATATTTTGCCAAGAACAAAAAGATCATTGTCCTTATGATAAAAAAAACAAACAGCTACTCCTTGAAATCTTGCCGGCAGCCCAAAAGTATTACAGACATCTGTGCATTCTAAATTTTTCACTGCTTTTTTCACTGATTTGAATAAAGGCAAGCTTGAAATGCTAAATGATGGAAGACGTTGCAAAGTCAAAGAAAATATTTTCTGTGAGCTTGAACCTAACAATAAAAGTAAAAAATCAAGAGCCAACATTGTTCCTTATGACTTTTTTCATGTTTCTCGCAAAACATTCAAAAATCTTGGAGACAATGGATCAAATCAGTGGAAAATAACACAAAGTGTCCAAATTTTAGGGCTTGTTTTTCCTTGAGTGTGAACCGATAAACCAATTATCATCCCTCAAAAATTTGGTGAGCTTTGGTGGAAGAGAAATTTCTTGGAAAAAAAAAACTTTTTTAAATTATCAGCGGATGACACAGATGGCTGTCATCATAGGTGCTAGACAATTCTTCTTGAATACTATCTGATCTTGAAACTGTTGCTTTCACGGCGAGGACACTTTTAAGATCCGACTTCAAGGTTTCTGCTGAACGCTGGTTATGATAAAACTCTGCGTATTCCTAGAAAAGTAAGAGCATGATATTAGATATACATATGGAGGGAGTTCTAGCAAACATTGCCTTAAGAGGCTATTTAAAACTTCAAAAAACAAAATACAGTGGAGTCTTGATTACCCATGTTGACAAAGGGTTGACTCATGATGGGACAAAAGGTATAAAAGGTTTTGAGATTAAAATGTGATTCAAAGACTTGAAACCTAGCTCCAGCCAGATATTGAAAAGTTTTCAAAATTTCCAAACAAGTTGAGTGAGAATAATTTTTTAATGTTTTATATTATCTTTTTGATCGATGACTCATTTTTGACCTAAATTAATTACTTATTTTCATCTCACAGCAGGTCAAAATACTTCTTTGTCCTAATGCACCTACATACAGGCTGACTTTAACAGAGACACACCAATGAGTTGCATCAAGTTTGCACCAAGAAGAAGAGATTTTTGGACTCTCCTATGAGACAATATGATACAGACAAAGTTTAAAAAATATTTTCACGTTCAAAATACTCTTTCTCAACTTGGAATTTTAAACAGAAGAAAACTTAGAACTAATGGAGAATTTACATGCAATTTTTTTATTGCTTCCTCTGAAAGTGCTTAAAGAGCTGTTTTCACAGTATTTTTTATAATTTTTTTCTAATATGGGAAATAATATGAAAATAGATTTAAAAGTAAGAAAATGCACCGTCTAGTGACGTCGTCTGATGGCATTTCCCATTTAAACACGAGTATTTTAGCATATTAGATCATTTTGTCATATCTTCTCCAATAATTTTTCAATTCATTAACCAAGGGTATCCTCGTGTTCAATTCACTCAGCAGTTTTTACTTTAACATGGAATTCATCAAATTTCAGACACCTGCAAATTCTCTGTTGAATTAAAAACCACTCTCAAATCACTTTCCTCCAAAATGCGACTTGGTGGGTTTGTGTTAAACTCAGTTCATATGTAGTTTAAATTACCAATAATCAACTTCTACTGTACTACATATTTTCCTTTATACTTCTTAATGAATCATTATGTTCCCTTGCATCACTGAGCGAATGCAATGTAACTTTGAGAAAAAATTTGGAAATATCAAATCTTCACAAGTTATCTCTGAGGCAGATTGAATTTTTGGCTATTTTCAATTTAGCAATTATCAATATAAATGATGTTTATCTATTTCGGCAGAGATGCTGCATTTTAAAGTTTTAAGTGTTTTAATTATGACATAATTGAGTACAGAGTCTAGAAAAGCTTGACATTTGTGGCTATGGCCACCTCAAAAACAATATAATTTTTTTTTTTTTTTTTTTTTTTTTTTTAAATTCAGGACTTACTGGCACTTTTTTACTCAGAAAAAAAGGAGAAGGAAAACTTAAGAAGAGGTCGTCATTGAAACAGCAATTTGTGGTTAGCGCAATTGATTTCGCTCTAGAAAATGTGTAACTTGGTGGAATAAAAGAAAAAGAAATAAGAAAATCAGGTAGAATTACCTTGAGTCGCATTCCAAGGAAGTTGGCTCGTTCTCTTTTCTTAATCATAAACTCTGTTGGCGACAGCCAGCGATGTTCTTGGCATTCTTCAGCTGTTGGCCTTTTGCTGTAAATACAAATTTTATACTTTCAAAAATAATTCTAAATAAAAATACACAACAAAAACAGGGTTGTCCAATAATTAATTGGAAGAGCAAGCAGTGGAACAGTAGTTGAAACTTTGCAATTAGTTTTTGAGAATCATTGATGGTTACAAACATTTTTTTAATCTGGTGGATATTGACCTTACAGCACTTTTTGGCTCTCATGAGTTAAAGTCTAAAAGTTTTAAGAACTTGGATTCGCAGAAGGAGCTACTTGGTTCAAGAATATATTAAAAAGTCGGACGAGAAAAAAATTAAAAATATTCTGGAAGTACTTTAATTGAGCAATATCAATAGTCACACAGAGGGGTTCTCGTTTGCAGTAATTTGGCTATAATTTTTGTGTGCCTATTTCTATATGAAATGATGAGACAAGTTCGTATGCTCTGTTGATCTAATTTTGATATTAAAGCTAGTTAGATTAAGTGATTCTTAAAATGAATATGATGAATAAGCGTACAAAAAATTCCTGGCAGAATGAATTCCTCTCGAGAATGCAATGAGACAATCGAGTGTGATGATCGACCGGAAAAAAATTTGCTTCAATTCACGGGAATTGAATTAGCAGATTGTTAATTTAGTGATATAATCAGTCTTAACAACTGAATTGATTATTCACAGGTTTCAAAGGACATACCACGTAATAACTGTTATAATTTTTACACAACTTCTTCCTCCATTTTCAAAAAAAGAATTTCTTTCTTTTCAAAAGAATTTAAATGCAAGATTTGCAGGTTGAGCTTACCAGGGAGATCTTTTGAAAATGAGCATGAGGAATCTAGTTGCTTCTTGAGATAACTCTTTATACAGGTGTTCGAATCTGTAGCGGACAAAAATGATGTTCTGTCTTGTTTCTTGGTCGTTCTCTCCTCGGAAAGGCGACTTGCCTGACAACAGAACGTAGGCCAGGACACCAATTGACCAGATGTCGCTTTGGGGGAATGCAGGTTCATCACAAAGTACTTCAGGTGCTGCACAAATCAAAACAATAAATGTTGAAACACACACAAAGTTGTAAACGACAAAAAAACAGCACAAGTAATCAATGAATAAACAGCATAACTCTGTATTGAAAAACCCATCTTAGCTGAATAAAAGTACTCCACGAAAGGGAAAAGTGATTGAAATGTTTGATGATACATGTAAGCCTAAAGATTAAGGGAGGAAAGGAAGATTTCAGTGTTAGCTCACTGGACTCTGAACATACATTTTTTAAATAGGAACAATCAGTTTTAAATTCAGGGAAAGCGTAAATTAATGCATGGAGAGAACAATTGATCAAAGATAGACGTATTAGAGAGCTACAAACATGGAACAGCTGAAAATAACTAAATATATAAACAAAGGGGAGAAATTGAGGAACAAGTTTAAAAAAATTGATTTGATAAATCAATCATTAATAGTTTGGCTTTCGATCAATTCAGACTCATTAGATTGAGGCATGATACATCAATTTTTTGCGTTTTGAATAATACAATTGAGGCTCCTGATCGGTTGAAATGTGTATCTGAGCCAATTAGAGGGTGATATGGCCACATTATTTATAAACAGAAGAGTTTGACATACAACGCCTTTGTAAAAAGATGGAAACTTTGCAGATTTCAGAGGTAAATATATTTGTTTTTGACGTATAGGAATCATAGTCAATAACTTAAAAACCATCAGTCACTTAGTCAGTTGAACAGTCTTTCAAACCTTTAGCTTTCTTCTTCAGCCTGTTGAATGGAATTTTGTCAACCTGACCGATAATAAACCGAACCTCCAGAATTAGAAGAAAAGAAGTGAAAAAGGAGAAAACTTAATATACTTACAATCATAGTCCAAACATGTGTTCGATGGATTCACCATCGTCCCTAATTTACTAACATAATGCGTGGCAGCAAAATCGACCAGCTTCACTTGCGTACTGCGCGTGGTCGCCATGACTACATTGTCTGGCTGAATATCTAAGTGTGCTAGGCCTCGCCAATGTAAATATTGAACAGCATCCAGAAGCTAGAATCAGAAAACAAACAAGATCAATGTATAATATTTAAAATTAGAAACTACTTTCGACTGACTAAAAGATGAAAAAATATCAATGTTAGCTGAAAGGGCCTTTCGTGAATTTTTTTCTTTCCTTCCTATTTTCCTGGTTTTGTTTTGTTTCTTCTTTGGCTTTTTGTTTTGTTTCTTGTTTGTCTGTTTGCTTTTGTTTGTTTTTCTTTTTTTTTCATTTTATTTTATTTTATTTTATTTTTTTTTGATGGGCAAATATACTTGGGAAAAATAGATTTCTCGGCAGAAATTAAACAACTGAATTAAAAAGAGTGAACTAATTCAATTCGAAAAGGCTCTGTCTTCCTTTTTTTCAATGTGAGACGGAATAAATAGAAAAAGTGCATATATAATTTGTATGTCTTATGATTGAATGCACTTACTAACGTATTAAACTTACCACTTACATAAATTAGGTTATTTTTTGCCCAAAAGTTTACATGATTTGAGATCTATCTTTCAGGTAGGTTTTCATTTTTTATTCATGCCCCCCCCCCCCAAAAAAAAATTGGCCAAGCTTGGCAGTTAAGAGAGACAAACATTTTACAACTTTTGTACATTGGTTTTCAGAGATAAGCCGTTAAATTTCAAAAAGAAAATAAAAAAACAGTTCTGCAAAATTAATGTTTCAACTCTGTGTCAAAATTTAAGAACTTAAATTGTTACCTGCGAGACGACGGTCATAACAACTTGTTCTGAATATTCGTGTCTACTTGACAAAGCTGTGAGGATATCAGCTCCTTGTAACTTTTCTAAGATAAATACAACTAAACCAGGATGGGAGGATGGTCTGAAAAAAATAAGAACGTACAATTGATGGCACAGTTTAAAGTAAAAAATTATAATCATTAACGACAGCATTAATCCCTTTACTTCAGAAAATTTACAATGCAGCAGAAGTGGATTAATCTTAAAGAAAATTTAATTCAATAATGGGAAAGCAAATTATTTACATTTTAACAGACTTCAGAGAAAAAAATCATCTATGAGACTATTACTGAAATTTTATGTTAGCAAAAAAGACATGAAAAAGAGATTTACATATACATGGTGCAAAAAGGCTCTGTCAAGGGTTTTGCCTTATTGTTCTGATATAGTTTCCATAATCAGTCCACTTATTTATAAAATTTGTGTCTAAACAGAATGACAAAGAATGTCTTCATTTTTTTGGTGTCAACATGATAAGTACCAATAAAAGTAAAAAAAGGAGAGATCTCACTTAATCCTTATGCAATAGACCTCAAATTTTTCATTTTTCTTGATGATATAATTTTCCAAAATAATTGAAATCCACAAGAAAAAGAAAAAATTGAGTAAAAGAGGCATTTCTAGCTTTTTCCATGAACAGTTCAGACACGTTCCTGTTTTATTTGAGATTATAGGGGAAAAAAATTCCTCAAGATTTTTTGGCTCTGAAGACACCTAGACCATCTTTTTCAGCACTACATTATTATTTTTAGGAGTCTGAAAATTTTAAGAGAATAAGTTGAATACACAATTACAAAAGGAAAAATAAATGATGTATTTTACATTAGTTCCTGAGCACTTCAATAAAAGCAGAAATAATTTTTACAAAGCAGTAATCAGTCCCATTTTTCTACAGCCAAAAATGAGCGAAATTATCCTTACCATTGATTTTGGTCTAGCCTTAATTGTTGGTTTCTCAAAAGTTATACGAGAACTTTCATCGATAGAAACCTCTTACAGCAAAAAATAAAGTAAAAAATAAGAAAAAATTGAATATATCTGAAAACAATGAATAAAATCCATACTTGTAAGCTTCTAGAAGAGCTGCGATGCGAACGTGCCGTAAAGAACGCAGGTTCTCAAATTCTTTCATCACTTGCTTCTCCGTCTTTTCATTGACTTCAAGAAGTTTAGCTACGACTGTTCTTTCGTCTTCTATTCTTACACCTTTCACAACGACAGAAAATCGGCCACTGCAATGAGAAAAAAGGAAAAACAATTAATTAAAGGAAAAAAGCTGGAATGAAAATCATCCTGCATTGTGAATTATCAATTAGATTATTAACAAAAATGATAAAATATGATCAAAAATAAAATCAATAAAGAGCAAGTAGTCTCTTTGAATTTTTTAAAACTCAATCAGAGAATAATTGTGTTGATTTTTGGTATAACATGGAAAAACTACAAAACAAAGTTCAACAGGAGAGGTCCAAAATTGACGTTTGTGCAAGCAGGATGAATTTCCTAAAATGTTCAACGGATTGGTCAACATGTATTTGAAAGTTCTGAAATAATTTTTTCCGTGGAATTTTTAGTGCCTTACCAGGCTAATTTAAAATCTTAGACTCACGCCCCTCTTCAAGAAAATGAAGGAAAATAATGGCATTTTGAGTGAGGAAGATCTTATGACATATTTTTTTGACACTCATTTTTGTCATTTGAATAGGGCACCAGGTATGACATGGTATAAAGTTCAGGCAAGGAAAAAATTTGGAGGCATTGCTCTCTTTTTACAACTTACAGAAAAGAAAAATTAAGAAATTGAATCTAAGAAAGTAAGATAAAAACAACTTTTAAAAGTTCAGTCACTTATTTTTGTAATTAAAACACGATAAAAAGCAATGATATTATTTTTTCAAAATATGAGGATGCCTTAGAATTTTTTTTTGCAGATGAATGAATGGCATAACTGCTGACTATGTTTGAAAAGCTTCTGCTTGTAAAGTAATCTACAAAATAATAAAATAAAATCCAAAAATTTTGGACTTACACTTCTCCACTAGAAATCAATTCTATCGGTAGATACATGAATTACAACTGAATCAATGAGGTGAGAAAGTATTATTAAGATTACGCAAATAACAATTAAAATAGCTGCATACCGGAAAATTTCAGATAAGAATCTATAGTTGTCTGTGGGTAATGAGTCAATCCATTGAATGGGTTCCCTTTCAACCTTGTAATCCAATTTCAATTCATCTTCGTCTTCGTAGATGTCTCTGCCACTTTCGCTCATTGTCTGCATATGTTTCATCGCTACAGTGATCACTATTTTTGGGGTATCTGAAAATAATTATTTAAAAGGAGCTCTTCAGTTGCCAGCCTTTAGTTGGTTTTACTTCACTCAATTTTACGACTTTCTTATCTTCTTCATCATGGATTCTTTAAATAAGTGAGGTTTATGATGATAAACCTCCCAATTAGATAAAAATCCTAGCAAGCAATAAAACATGTATTCGGGATGATTTTCATGCACAAAAAGCTATTACGCTTGACTAGTGGTTTAGTGAGGCAGAAAATAACCAAGAGGTATATTGAGAAGAAAATATACTAATTAACAATCTAAAATAATCAGCTGTCTAAAAAAATATTTTTCTCATATTTTCAGCTGAAAAAAAATTATAGAGAAGCAAAATGACTTTGCAAATGGTGTTTGTATGTTTGACCTCGGACATACATTTAATAAATTTGCAAATGTGAACTGTCAAAATAAGCTTATATAACATGAGACATGCAGTTGAACTGCTGTCAAGTAATTTTTTATGTAATTTTAAACTTTCATCAGACATTGAATTTAAAAAGAAGGACAACAAAATCTTCATCGAATCATATATTCTTCAATTTAGAAGTGTTGTACAAAAATCCATGTAAGCCTGCAAAAAAATAATGAGACATTTCTTTGCTTTACCTTCTTTCTCAGTTGTGATATGCTCGGATGGAATGCCTGGCTTGCTCCAGCCGTGACAGTTGCGAGCCGCAAGCCGGAACAGGTAATTTGAATTCGGTTTCAGGTTTTTGACAAGCCAAAATTCGTGGTTGATTGTGCTGCAGATATCTTCCCAATCTGGGTTGTGCGACTCTTTGTACTGGAGACGGTAGCAGACAACTTCAGCATGGCCATCTTCTTTTGGCTGCTTCCAGCGCAGCAAAACCTCTGTGTCTGATGTTTCCACAGCTATTGGAGAGTCTGGCGCATCAGGCGGACCTCCTGCAACCAATCTAAACAGAAAAAAAAGAGCAAGAATGATTTATACTGATTGGTGTTATTGGATTGGAAATTTGAAAAAATTTTATTTTAACCCGGGCAAATGCTGTAACTAAGGTAACAGGTTTGTCGATGGGTGTCCCCTCAGTAGTCATATCTCTGCCTTCCCATTTGCGACCTGAGACTGAGCACTTTCAAAATTCTTCTGCTTCAATTTATGTTCTATTTTCCATGAATACAATAAAGAAATTTTTTTTGACATAACATCTATTTAAATGAGTAAACAACTCTACCGCACAAAATTTGTAGACTTGAGCTTTTAGCAAGGTAAATGAAAATTTCAAAGTATGATTTTTTAAAGCTAATTTTTTTAAGGGTGCATTTTTTTAAAATATTTTTTAAAGGTTCAACTGAGAAAAATATCAAAACTTTGCTTTAAATGTAAATTAAGCATTTAATATGAATATATTAGAAAGTCTGAATATTTTGAAAGTCTTAAGTCCCGAAATAATTTAAATCTATACTTGTTCTTTTGGTCTTTTATACAGATTCCTTGTTAATGTAAGGGCCGTAGTACATCAGAGAGTTGATCAAAGATGACCAACCAAAATCAATGAGGAAAAAACTCATCCATTCTGAAATTCAAAAAGTGATGAGAATTTTCATCAACTGTCATTGAGTTACAATGAATGCAACTTAGGGTTGGAGAACTTCAGATGATTTAGACTCACCTCATCCTTGCAACTGTCTGGCCGCATTTGTTTCTTGCAACACACTTGAACGTTCCCACGTCATACTCTAAGGCAGGGTTTAGCCGCAGTACAGATCGCCCTTCATCATCCCGTAAGAATTTAACTCTTTTGCCTTCAGTTAGAACCAAGTCATTCCTGCAAACAAAATGGAATAAAAGGTCAGATTTAAAATACTAATTAAGGATCATTGCAATATTTTTCAGATTATATCTTACAGAGAACATATTTCAATGAATAAAGAAAAACCATAAAGCTTGTGGCTTCTACTTTCTGCTCAAATGAGTGATGGAAACATTAGGAGGAAAGAGGACAGCAAAGAATTTGTTTCCAACAAGGATTTTCTCTAATTGTATTTTAAATTATGAAAAAAATTGATGCAAAACGTTCAGGATACTGAAATATTACTTACTTGAACCATTGAATAGTTGGCTCAGGGTCACCAACGACAAAGTAGGAAATGTCACAGACTTTATTTCCGAAAATTGGTGTGATTTGTGGCTTTTCTCGGAAGAAAGGAGGCTGAAAGGAGAGAATAAGACAGTTAATTAGATAAAATAAAGGCTGATTAGAAAGATAAAAGTGAATTCTGATTTCATGATGTTTCTGATTTTCTGATTTTACTGCTAAAGAATCTGGTTATCTTCAAAAAGCTTTTTCTTACACAGAGGGGGAAAAAATTGAGTGAAGCAAAATTATGTTATTCTCTTTTGAAATCATACATTCAATTATTGAAATCTACATAGATCCAAAATAATAATTCCGCAAGTCAAGAGTGGCGGTAGCCACCCCCGGTCGAGGAAAATGACGTCCTACTAAAGTCCCGATAACAAACGGGTGGCCGACACTCTTAGTCACAGGCAACTCCCTTAATCTGAAAATTGATTCGGTTGGAACTCGACTGCAGCCCAAACGACGGCACGGATTCCTACGATCTTTAATGCATTATGAATACATCCTTGATTTTAGCCCAGTGAAAAATTTAAAAAAATTCGTCTTTCATTGAAAAAAGCTATAGTTAAAAGTTTTTCCTCAACGTTATTTACATAAACTGAAGGATAAAATTTAGTTCCTGAAGTTTTTAGACTCATTACACTTTATCATATTGAACCACATTACTAAGTGATAATTACCTGACCCTCTCTCTTGGCATCCATCAACGCCTCAGCCTCAACACGAGTATCAGGTCTCATACCGACCTCATTGCGAAGTCTACGGGTACTTAAGCTTTCAAAGTTACCATAACGGTTGATACGAGCTTTCCTTTCATCGTCTATCTCTTCATCCATGACGTCTGTAAATCTCCTCCTTTCTCTGATGATCGGCATCTGTAAAACACAGAGAAAAGTATCCACTAGTATCAAAATATTTCTAGAGTTGGTTAACAGGGTAAAAATTAAACTATGAGCATTGGGATGTTTGATCAATAGTTAAAATGTGCTGAAACCTCTTGTTGCATTTCAACATTTTTTTAGACAGACAAAAAACAGGATTGATGTTATAAATGATTTGAGTTGTTTCCTGACTTGGGCATATGATGACATAACAAGGTACTACTTAAAACTAAATATAAGACAACATTCTTTCGCTTTTATGTTTCAGTTTATTACACTTTCCGCTTACTTGTAGAAGATTGGTCAGTTCTGAACACATTTTTCCTTAATTGGAAAAACCGTCATTCAAATCTTTCATGTGCTACGATTACTTTTCAACTATTCACTTAAATAAGAAGCTACTTACTCTCCAGTCAAGATGGCACTCATGGTCGAATACTTGGCTTAAACGGGGAGCTCGGTTAGCTGCTACTTTCATATACTCTCGGAGCCGCACCGGGAAGTCAACATCTCGCAGCTGCAGTAAGTATGTGTCTGGACCATACTGGTAGTGACTCTCATTTTTGATCATTCCTGAAATAAAGATACAAATCAATGAACAACCAATTTTCACTCCATACAGCAAATGAAAGACCAGTATTAAAAAAATCTCATCTAATCGGCCTCTGAACAGAGTGTGAATTAGAGCAGGATGCAATATTTTTTCTCCTCAAAATTTCACATGAAAAATGAGTCACGGAGCAGGAAGTCTGAAAATCAACTTTTTAACAAGATACAAGTGTTCATCGTTAATATTGGTTTGATGGCAAAAATAAAAGTAACGTCAACGGTGTAATCTAACTACCATTTAATCTGTGTTGTTCTGGAGTTGATTTTGAACTTTCCGTTGGATGAGTCATTTTCCACATAAAATTTTTAAAACAAAACGTGCGACACTTTTTTTATAGTTCAGACCTTAAACGGTGGTCCATTTAGAATATACCGCAAATAAATTAAATTTTCCAGGGATCACATTTTACACCATGATAAGTTGCTTTGCAGAGTAACGCAGATCAGTTTTACAAAATTCAGACAATTTTCGCATGTTTGAATTTAGCTATTTGTTGCTCTAATGCAACACTAAAATTGCTGTTCTTAATGAAGAGGACATGTAGTTGGCCATAAGCTAACGTTTTCCCTCCTTTTTGTACTTGAAAAATAAAATGTATAAACATTCACTCTATGTGCAATTTTAATTTTAACTGCCTACTCCTCAAAGACTAACTGATACTGAGTGGATAAAATCATTATGTTCCAAGTAGAGAAAAATTCAGAGAAATGACTTACGAATCATCAAAAATTCTCCAGTTACTTACCAATATCTACATCAATAGGTTCACGTGACGGAATTTGGTCCTCCCATGTTCGATGTGGAGGTAATTTGCTTTGTGGGGGTGGAGTTGACTCGGGAGTGTATGAATGACCAGGTGGATACACCATTCTGGACGGATGTGTGAATGCAGTTTCGAGCTTGCGTCTCCTGTACCATGTGCGGCAGGATGCATTGCTGTACCAATCCCTAATGCGCAGCAAAAATATATATGAGTGAACTAGGTTCTTAAGGAGGAGAGAAAAAGGGACTGCAAAGGACAGTTATGCAACGAGTAAAAAAATGGTTCCTAGATTTCAAGCTGAGTCTGGATAATTATATGCTTTTTTGCTAATTTTTAAACACAGAATCAATTTTCTTGAAACAAAAATATGTTGTATGTGATTTCTCTCAACTTTTTTACTTTCTCACTAGTAATTTAATCTTCTATTCTTGACTTCTGTCAGAGAGCATCAAATCTGTAAGAGACTGACAAAAATGACACAAAAACAACTTACTTGTAAGAGTTATAGTAGTTACGCAGGCAATCAGTGCTAATTTCATAATGATCAGGATCAGAAAGTGGTTTATCGGCGAGGTTAAGCCATGGGTGTCGTAGTGCATTTTTGATATCCATTCGGGCCTCAGTATCGATGAGAAGCAACTTGGAGATAAAATCACGCGCATTCTCACTCAGACTGGAGCTGAGCTGGTATTGGTTGTTTTTGATTCGCAACAGGGTTTCCTGGTCATCGCGACCTCGGAAAAGCGACACTCCGGTCAGGAAAAGATGTGTTATCACACCGATGGACCACATGTCCGCAGGGAAGTAAACACCATCACCACGAACCACCTCAGGTGCAACAAACTCCGGCATACCTGAAAGTAAAGTTATCAGTATCTTAGAAAGCTGTGCTCTCAGGGGGGAAAATGACCCAAAAGTAGTTCTAAAATAAGTAACCTCTTTGTACTACAGTCTTCTACAGTTTTTTTTTTATGTATAATTTTAGTGATGAAAAACGATGGAGAAGACGATATTTCAAGAGGAGGTAAAATTTTTTGGAACATTAAACATTTGGTGATGAACTTTTATTTAAAGATTTTTAGAGACAAAATACGAAATTATCTATAGTTTATTTATTGATTTTTTGCAATCTTTTTACTCTGTGGTATAAATCCTAGACTGCGAATTTTGTTATTAAATTCAAGCATACATATAAAGAACTATTAAACTATACGTATGAATTTAAATAATCCTCGCGTAAATTTTAAAACGAAGAAAAGGATTTACTAGGTTTCATTCTGTCAGATTCATCAAAGTAAGATTCTGTTAAAACTCATCAATTTTCAAAATTGTCTGCTTGTTTCAGTTTTTTTTAGAGGGAGAGTCCTCACACATTTTTCCAAAGGAATAAAAACCGTTTTTTTAAAACACCTCAGATTCCTCTGAGTCAAATAAAAGTAAAAAAAAACAAAAAAAAATCTTTTGATAGCGCAATATGTATTCAGAATCAGTCTGCAGATGAGACCTGCTCATTTTTCTATGAATCAGGTAAAAAATCTGAAAAATAACTAAAATGCTGCTAGCACAAGTTTAAAGATCAATTCTCAATTAACAATTCTTTGACCCTTGTAGTTTAATAATTTTATCACTCACCATAATAAAGCGGGTGGAATTTTCCATAATTGATTTTGCGACTGCAGCCAAAATCACTAATTTTCAACTCATCACCTCCAATGTGAGATATTAGAAGATCACCAGGCTGAAATGTTGAGAAGAAAAATTGGTAAGATGACCTTGAAATATTGCAACAGTACTAAGTGCTGAAGTTACTTCTAGACCGTGAAGTCTAGGTAAAGTTGTTTCTAAAGAAAACAAAATGGCTCAGAATCATCACTAAAACTTTCAAATTGGTGAAGCTACTTTTAGTCAGCATACAGGTTTTACCGACTTTCATGGGTAACTTTCTGGTAATAAGTGTGGATTTGTATGTTCATCCTCCAGTGATACTGTATGATAGGAGCCTAGTTGTAGTAATCAACATTTGTAGAAGTTTTAAGGACACCTTAGCAATATCTTCAAAATCAAAAAGAATAATAGGCATGAATTTTATTTTTAAAATAAATTTAGATTTATTCACTGTTAATTTGGATCACAGATAGGAAGCATCTCAAATCCTGCTTTAAAACAATTTCCTGGGGAGGATTTTGAAGCAACTACTCAACTTACCGTGAGACCTAGATGAGCGAAACTATTGTGGTGCATGTGTTCAATACCCCACAAAATTTGCCTGATATAATATGCAATTTCAGCTTCTGTTACATGAGTTTGACGTGTCAGTACATCAAGTAATTCACCTCCACTTGCCCTGTGATTACAAGTTAAGGAAATGAAGGAATGACAAAATTGTACAGATACATACATCACTTGAGACAAAGTAGGAAAAAATTGTAAATAAAATTAAAATTGATTAAATCTTTAGAAAGAAGGTGCTCTAAGAAAAATCTCTAGAAAAATATATTTTTGCTCTGATTGTTAATGGAGCGATTCAATCAAAAACAACGAACACAGCCAAAAAGGAGGAACAATAATAGTAAGTTGCTTTATATTACTTTAAATCTTATTTATCTCATTATAATTGACTCATCAAAATTCTGCAAACGCTTCCATTGCTCAAAGTTGCTTAAAAACTTGTCCTCATTCGATTATCGATGCCTGCAAAAAAACTTAAGAAGATAAAATGATATTACGGGATGAAGCAAAGCATATCACATACACACACATACACAAACAATTGTCACACACCGAGACACTATGATAGGAAGCAACATAAAGTTATCACGAAATAATGAATGACTAGAAGCACTCGGATGATATACTACTAGTATTCCTTTTTCTTTTTTATTTACAGTCAGACTTGATGATTAAGAGTGACAGCAATCAAAACTTCAACAAGGTAATCATGTCTACATGCTGAAATCAAAGGATACAATTCTGTGATGATCGTGATAGTCTTTGTTGTTTCATAACCCTCATACAACCGGATGAGATTACGATGGTTCAAATTGTTCATGACTTCAAACTCTTCAGTCATGTCAAATCTGTAGTCCTTCGTTCCAGTCATTACTTTAGCTGCAAAGTTGCGACCTAAAAAAGAAAAGAAAGGAAAAATAATAAGAGAGAGGTCAATTTCGAGACTGAGAGAAATGGATTAAACAGTTAACAGAATAGAAGCAGATGTTTCTCCATTGCAACAATAAACTACTACAGTGCACTAAAAGATCAGGTCGCGCGCATTACCTAATTTCCTTGAAATTTCTCCATGTAGAATATGAACATATGAATTAAAACTTTACTTAGAACACACTTCATGAATGAAAATTTTACCTAAGAGTTGACAACTTATAAAATTATGACTTAATAATTCAGGAGCAAATTGTCTTGGCAATTGATTGGCAAAATGCAGAGTTTTAAAAACCCATGTTTTAAATACATATCAGGACGCTAATAACTTGGAAAATTCTCATGTTAGAAAGCCTACCTAATGAACAGTATGATGTTCCATACAAAAAAAGAAAAGAAAATGAATTCATTATTTGGATTAAATATTAAATCAAATTGAAGTACAGTTATACAAGGAAACATCTTCAGAACATCCCCTTTCTAGAAAGCACGATAAGGCCGTTCTTGGCTATCACGAAAAACTCCTAATATATGATATTAGTCGCAAAGTAAAAACAAATCTTTCAGGATGCCTTTAAATATACTATCCTTTGTTAGCTTCAAAATAAACAGGGTATAACCCAGGAGCTTCATCCTCTTTCAAAAGAAACACTTCCAAGATTAAATGGACTTAATACCTATATTTTCTTACTTAAAAACTTAAGAGGCATATTTTTAGGAGGCTCACCTGTTATCCTTTCGACCGCGTGGTAGGTGATACCTTGGGTTCCACGCCCAAGTTCATCTCCAAGGTCGTAGAGATCAGTTGCTTTCCTTGTCTTGAGCTTGGCATGCGGGAAGCGGCTGTAGCTGTGGAAGCTGAACTGCCCTTCACTCTCTTCAACGTGCAAACTCACGGAGGTTGAAATAGAACCGGCCACGTTGCGAGCACTGATGCTGTACAATCCTTGGTCTTTCAAGATCACATCTGCGATCACAAGGACACATGTGTCTGGCTCTATGTGTTGAATCTGTTCAACAATAAGTAGTCAATATTTATTTTAAAATAGCAGAGCATTGAAAAAAGTTAAATGCACTTCTTTAGACTATGTTATAAGCTCCAAGTTTGACATCATGCACAAGAATGCGTATTCCCAAAGGGCGCAAGTCTTGGGTGATGAATATAAATGCATCTTGTAGTAATAACCCAAAATCAGTAAATTCTAGAATCCACTAGTCAAAACTTGTTTCCACAAGTCCCTTCCGTCAAAACTTATTTTGACCAATGTATTCTGAAATTTACTTGTTTAACACAGAGCAGTCAAAACTAGTTTTGACAGACCAAGTTCTGTATAAGTGTTTGCAAAGTACAGTTGATTCAAAGATATAATTTTCTAGAGAATTAAGCAAGTTGATAATGTGGTAAAAAGATGACCTAAGAGAGACAAAAATGTTAGAAGGTATCACATGGTCACATGGATATTTAAAGCTTTTTACCGATGATACTCACTCGAACTCTGGATGAGGGAGCAAGAGGCTGCCAGTCTTTGAACCATTTAATATCAGGGTATGGAACGCCCGTTATTTTGGCTTCCAGTCTACATGACCGTCGCATCATGACATATGTCTCCTCTGGTCGTTTGATGAAAACAGGATATTCTGCACAACGGAGTCGGACTCGCTGTCTTGCTTGACCATGTTCATTGGTTGCAACCGCTTCGTACATACCTTCATCTCGTTCCAACATTCTAGGGGGAAAACATCAGGAGTAATTTTAGACAACTTTACGGTGTAAATTGCAATTATATTAACTACAGGCGTTTGCATTTCTGATCACTACCAGATCTCACAAAATTGACTGTTGACAAATAAGAATCAACATCCAAAAGAGGGTAAAGTGTCAAACTGTTTATGACGCAGACTGCTATGATATTTTGTAAATGCATTCATGAGGCACTTTCAAACCCCCCAGGAGCAGTTAAATGATTTTATTTCAGATATTGATATTAATTAAAGTAATATAAAAAATTTTCGCTTTGAGTTGAGTAATGAAGAAGTGGTCCTGATCTAAAATAAGTAAAAATATTTTATTTGATACGATATCCAAATTTTTTTTTCTCCATCCCATCCAAGACCAACAAACCAAACCCAACCCTGCAATAAAGGAATTCAATTAAACAAATACTAAAATGAAACGTATCTCTCCTTAGCTAGAGACAGATCAATTTTTGATTTTATATCAAGACAGCTTGTTCCTAACGATCTTACTGGCACTCACCTATTGATGAATAGCGTTGCTTGTCCGTTGCGGGTGTAGCTACAATCATATCGACCTCCCATTTCAATCGGTTCATCATTGAAGAAGTAAGTCATTTTTGGTTTAGGGTAACCATAGACAAACCAGAATAAGTTGCAATTGTGGCCTTTCACGCAATATTGCGTTTCATGTTCTTGGCGCAAGAATCTGGAATCAAGTTTTACAGTGCTTCATCAATGTAATTGTAATAACATTAACCTCATTATGTAAAATTTTCTTTTCAAATTTTCCAATTTTTCATCCAAAATTCGAAAAATAAAAAACAGAATTAAATAAGCAAGATTAACAAACGATTTTTATCTTGCATAAATCTTGGACCTGTGATAGGGTATGATATGAAAACTTACAAGAATAGGTTGGTGGTACCAACTTTTTTATTCATTTTCTAAAAAACAGAGTGAACTAAGCTTCTGAGAAATGTTTCAGTTTTTTTTTTTTTTAAACTCTAAATGGCGAAGAAACCCTGTTTTGGAAAAGACAAAAATGGGACTTGTTTAAGTTGATATTTTTGGCAGGCTTCGATGACTTAGCCAGGCAGACAAAACTGAGTTTGATGATTGACTGATTTCAGCTTCAGGCATCGCTATGCTATGTCAACTCGGCTGTCAGTTTTTGACAGGTCAGATTTTGATTTGTTTTTTCTCCCCCTAGAAATAATTTTTTGAACTTTTTAATGAGACTTTCATTCTTTTCACAAAGTTTTGCATGAGAAAAACTATACAATTACCGTGGAGCCTGGAAATAATTATCATGAGGAGGCCGCTCAATATCAAAGTCTTTCGGGAAGTAGGGTGAACTTTCTGGTCTGAACTCGATGCCCGGAGGTAAGTAATCCCACAACTTTGGAGGTGGAAGCTCTAAACGTCCCCTGAAAGAAAACAAAAAATGCAAATAAATTGGGACATCACAGTAAATAAATTATCTTTCTTATAAATGAGGCTGAAGGGAACTTACATTTGAGTTGGGAGAGGAGCGGTTTTATTAAACAAGATTCATTTTTCAAAATTCGCGATGAGCAAATTTACTACAACTAAAATTCACTTCATCTTTGGGGCTGCTCAGAAACTCAAGATAGCTGCCATTATGTGACGTAGATCTTTAAATAAAATGAAATACTGTACACCAAGATGTTACGGAAATATTGGGGAGAGGAGTGCGTAATCAATTTTCAAGCATAACACTTAAAGAATGAACAGAGTAACTAATGATTGTTCCTTGTATTACATTTAGGGCAGGAGTGTTTAGTGATGCATTATTGAATGTTGCACGTAGGAAAGAGGGGGTATCAAAAAAGAATCTGTGATTTGTACTTGTAATTTAGGTTTGGTCCTTTTCTAGGAGTTTAATCATTTTTGAAATTAGTGACTCTGACTAACTTGGCCCAACTATCAAAGATCATAAATAAAGATCTCCTACCTGTGCGTCATTCCAAATGGAGAGGGATCGCTGATACCGTACTTATTTTCTACTCTTACGCGGAATTTGTAATCTCTGAAAGGTTCAAGGTTTGAGATCTCACAAACGCAGCTTCTGACACCTAGAAAAATCAGAAAACAAAATTGTGCTTAGAATAATTCATGAAAATCAGTTATTAATTAAGTGGGTTGAAAATAATTTCAGTTGTGAATAAATTTCTTTTGAGATGGCCTCCTAGAATTCTAAATAGAAAATTAAATAATTCTGTAGGCCTTTCAAGCCTTCTTGACTTTAAAAATCGACACAAAGAATATTTTTCTAATCATCAGAGCTTACTTCAAAAATTAAAAACTCGAAAAGTAAAAGTTAATGCTGAGAGGGTTTAGGAGACAGTAATATAAAATCAGTCCAAAACCGCATTGTAAGATGGATGTGTCTTCATGTTTTCAGACATCGACTACTTATGATTCACTGATCAAATAATTTAACTTTCTTTCCTAAAAAAAGATCATCTTACCTGTTCGAGCTGTAAACCAATCGCCATCTGGTTGCACAGCCATTTCAACATGGTAAGTAACTGGGAACCGCGGTCCAATTGGAAGGGACGGTCTCCAAGAGAGGGTGAGTCGCCGGTCCATCATGCGACTGATGATTGGTCGGTCTGCAAGGGGCAGAGGAGCTCCTGTGTTGCGGTAGTTAGTGAAATCTGTGTACTGGTCACCAACCGGTTTCCGAGCTCTGCTTTCTTCGATGCCTGTTGACATTGGATCAGATAGTAGTAGTTAAAGGAAAAGTTTGCATTCGATCTTGAGTTATTTTTATCATTACAGCTGAGGCTTTCAGCAATTATAGGTAATTTTTAAATAGGAGGTATTTACTAAAAACTGATGAAAGATGACAAGAGATGAATCCAATTTCAAAAGTGAGTAAAAGCTATTAAAAAATGCATATCATATTTCATTGAGCCACAAATGCAGGAGTTTACTTTCTGTTATTGCTTTACTCGTTTGAAAATAGATACCATTGTACACAGGGATGACGTAAATCAATAGTTTAATAAGTGAGGAGATTTCATCTTAAGTTCTAAAGTATTTTTCTTCTTCAATGGAGAAATCATGAATTGAAAAAAAAAATTGTTCACCCTGCACTCCGAAAAGTAGGAATTTTCGAAAACACTTTTTCTACATATCTCGGATAGAGAGAGACGAGTAAAATTAGAATAGTTTCTTCTCCACAACTCAGAAACAATTCTGAGCTCAGTGTTTCACATAAATAGGAATTTTGAAAAGTCTGAGCTACACATAAAAATCCTGAAATTTTCAACATCACAATAAAAAATCTTCCCAAATACGCCTGAGAGAAGGAGATATTTGAAAATGTGTATTATCTTACTGTTATAACTTTCATTTCTATAGCCTTCTTTCAAGTTAGAATTGATGTATAGAGGGAAATTTCAGGAAAAGTTCGCGACGCATATCCTCTTCTCATCTGAGAGTTCAATTTTTGACGATTAATGTTTTTACTGAACGCGAGGTGAATGAAAAGTTTAATTAAGTCATCCATGGAAAACTTACTGTCGAGTAGCAAATTAGCTTCACATGTTGCCTCTCCGTAGTCATTATAGATACGCAGCTTGTACGTGGTAAGATCGTGCTCAGGTACAACTCTGTTGATGATGAGTCTCAAGATACCGGTACCTTCTCTCTCCATTTTGATTCTGTCACTTGCGAAAAGCCTCTCATCGCTCTTATACCATTCATAGTACGGCTCTGGGTACCCAGTGACACAAGCGGTAAATTTGGCAGCCATTCCACGGAAGATTTCACAATCTCCGATGCGCTTCAAGAACGAGGGTGGTTCAATCTTCGGAGTTCGTTTTCTAAACATGAAAAAATAATGAGATAATATAAGAATATGTACTCCTGTGCTTTTTTATGATAGGCTAATGGACAAAGTCTGAGCTAGAAGATCATGTTCAATGATTACTCCTCAAAAAATTACATAGAAAATGATTCGCACGGCATGAAGTTTAGAAATCAACTCCTTAACAGAATAATACCAAGTATCTTAAACACAGAAAATTTGGGGTGGTTAGATTATATTTGGGGTGGTTATAATGCGTCATTTGTATTTCTTCAATGGGCCACTAGACGAGGTATGAATTAGAAGGAAATGCTACCTGCTTTCTCTTCAAAATCTCACATAGAAAATGATTCACACAACGGGAAGTTTGGAAATTACCTCCTGAAGGAGCTATTAACCAGTCTTTTTAACGCAGATCTAATGAAGGTTAGATTATACAAATGACGTCATTTGTCTTTTTGCCATTTAAGTAATGTTAATAGAAAACACATCTTGTTTAGGAGTTGATTTCCAGACTTTCCGTTGAGTAACTTGTTTTCCTGGTGAAATTTTAAAGAGAAGACACACTGCTTAGAGTGGTCCATCATACTCCGTTTAATGGCCCATTGCCACACACCTTTTTATCAAATGCAGATGGCTGTCGTTAATTTGACTTAAAATGATCTGAATTACTTACATTCTATCAACGACTTGAAGTGCAGCATCGCAATCAGCGTGTCCCTCTTTATTGGTTGCTTCGCACTTGTACCAGCCCGCATCATTAATGTCCAAGTTGTTGATGTACAAGCAACACACTTCACCCTCTCGCTTGATACGATATTTGCCTCCCTGACCACCATCGTAGATACCTCTCAAGTCGTGGTACCATGCGACATCTGGTGTTGGGATGCCTGTCACGCGGGCTAAGAATTTGGCATTGTATCCTGGCATCTGTACAGAGGAAAAAATTTTCATGTGTGAATAGTTGTGAAAAATTGACCGAATGTAGTCCTTTAAATATAAGCGAGAAAAAAACACTTCAAAACATGGCCCAAAACTGTATGTAACAAGGTGGTAAAATAGTGCTGGGTCCACACTATTCTGCGGGGAATAAAAGACCAAAAAGTTCAAAGCATTCAATTAAAGTCAAAAATTTTTGAGCTCTAATGAGTGCCAGTACAAGACTGAGGGGTGAGAGTGCTCAACTCAAGCAGCTTGCATTGGAATATTAGGTTGAGGTCACGCTAAAAGATATGTTATGGATTTCTCTGAACTCAACTTTTGTCAGTGAATCATCAGTTGCTTTGACATCTGCATCTGAAAAGTGGATGCTGATCCTTAACAGTAAATACATTGTGGGGGATAGAGAGACCAGGTTTGCAATGTATTGTGACGTAGCAAGTATATGGGACACGTTTCCACCCAGAGATGACTGTTTTAGATAAATGAGTTGAAAAACCAGCTTTTTTCTAGTTCAAGAGGTGGTTTCAAAATTTTTTAGTCGAGTCATTTTTCTTTCTGTGAAATTTGCTGTTGGAATCAGTTACCAATTTGCAAATCCCCTGTCTTGCAACAGGCCTATTAATAGCGAATGAAACTTTTCAGCACTATTTCTCATGGCTCATTGATACATAAACATGACGTTAGTTGCGTTTTACCTGCTGCAGGTCTGTGAACCTCTGTATGAATGTGGGTGCTTGGTATAGTTTGCGAACGTTAGCTTTTCCTGCCGTTGTTGCTTCTCCATGGCAGTTCTTTAAAAAGACAGAGTATACACCAGCATCAGCCAAATCGGCTTTTGGTATTTCCAGACCGACCTAAGTAATGAAAAAAAACGCTTGGTTGAATGTTCATGTAAAAAAGAAAATATACCACACAATGGATGTACCAATTAATTCTTACGGTTCCTTCAAAATGTTAACGAATTCTCTTCAAAGTTTACTTGGGCCCTGATATGATACAGTGGTTGGCAAATAAAGAAAGATCAAATGCTCATGGATATGAGCTTTAACATTCGCCTTCCCATTAATTGTTATAAAAGCAATCGTATGCTTCGTGCAGTTTTTAACAAAATGCTTACAAGTGCCTTGAATCACTCAGATTAAAATAATAAGAGAGCAATTCCTGCAAAAATAATTGGACAAAAAGACATCCATAAACCAGGCAACATTAGTCTCCTAGATATATAATCCTTCGAGGCTTTCATGATACAGATTGGTTTACATTAAACTATTAAACAATTTTCAGATTTTAAAGAGTAAAAAAAGGGGAAAGTAACTTTCAAATTATGTGCCCCATGTCAAGTACCTTGTGTGCATCACAGTAGAACCTGATTCTTTCGCTAGGATGAATGACTTGTCCGTCTTTATGCCATAATACCTCTGGAATCGGATTACCGATGAATGGAGCAACCAATGAGAGAGACGAGCCCTCATCAGTTGTTGTGTCGCGCATGCTGTGCAAGAACTGAGGTCTTTCCTCTGGTACGTCACCTCGTTCACGAGCTGAAAGACACAAAATCATATCTCAGAAATTGAAGCAAGGGACATTCACTTGAATTGGAGAATGTAAAATTGTTTCGGAAGAAAGATGTGCAAATAAATTGTTGAAAAATCAATAACATTTTTGGTTATTTCTCCTTCTGCTCCTGAATCAGGAATTTTGCAACCGAAAGAACCAAAAACTTCATTTGCTGCAGGAGTCTTCTGAGTTCCGAGTCATGTTAGCCTCTACGCTCTTTTATTTCTTACCTTGTATCATCAATGAGGGGCTGCCGAGGACCTATTTAAACATGATTCGTCAATAGAAGTACTCGTAATGTTGATTTCACTTTATTTTTCTTGTCTCTTGGATTAATTTTTTGTCAGAACGTTGGACCACACATCAAGAGCTTCCAAAATCTTTTTTACATCATTTTATCTTGAACAAAGATGTTATATCTTGATAAAGATACAATAGTGTTTTGATACTTACGCAGAATTTCAAGAGGGGCCTCTGTTTTGCTACTACCGAGTTCATTTTTGGCGACGACTCCATAAAGACCTGAATCACTAGGAGTGGCATCTTCAATTACGAGCGCCTGAGTTCCATCAGGGGAGGATACAACTTTGATACGAGTCCCATCAATAGCTAAAGGCATATCATCCTTGAACCTAAGGATAAACGATACAGATTGGAATGACTTTTGATTTTTAATTCTTAAAAATGACCAATAACCAACAAAAAAGGGGGAGTAGTTAAAGCCTCTTTATTTCAAACCTTTGTCATTAGTGAATTTTTCCCCCAACTGTTGATGTTGAAATATCGTTAAATTGGATCTTTCACCCTTAATTTGACATCTTGGAATCGTACACTTTTAAAAACTGGGTCAAAACATGTATCACAAACGTTCAGTGTTTAGGAAAACTTCAGTCTCTGGGTTTTAGAAAACTACTTTAATCTTGGATCTGGAAGATAGAAATACTGAAAATTTCAAATGCTTGAAAAGCAGAGTCTGCTGCAAACTCAGTGACTTCTAAATTAATTTAATTTTAAAGGGAAAATCATTAAATCTATCGATTCAAAATTATTTGAAGTATCTACTGAGATCTAGAGAAGAATATAATTGTTTTTCACTGAATATATTCAGCAGTAAATTTTTTTCGAAACTAAATTATGACAGAGGATGCTGAAAATTAACAATACATTTTACAGATTTTGACAGAAAACGTTCCTGATTGTGAATGTTTGAACACCTGAAATTTTAGAAGGATGAGATCCAGGATCGATTAAGACAAAATCTTGTAGATGAGCTATATCATTGAATTGACAATACTAACCAGATGACTTCTGGCTCAGGGTGACCCTCAATCTGAACTTCAAGCCTGGCAGGGAAACCTTCGACGAGGCTCAACGGCAAGAGATGTGTGTTGAATTTTGGTTTAATTTCTTTGTAGATGACCTCTCCTCTGGCTGTAGATTCAATTTTTCCAAGCCTGTTAGCAACAAGAAGAGTGTACACACCATTATCTTCCATTTTGGCCGGCTCAATTTCTAGTCCGACTTCTCCATTGGGTGCGGTTACAAAGTTGATCGCTGGTGTTGGATGAATTTCGATGCCATCCTTCAACCTAAGGAAAAACGATATGCAATAGTTTGTAAGTATAAAAAATTCTTGGTTGAAAGAATTACCGTAATATTAAAAGGATTATTTAGACAGATGGAGTGGGTAGGAAAAAGATGGAAAATTTACTTCTGAGAGAGTTGAAGGAAAATTAGAGATTAACCATTTCAGATATGTAAGCCAGGGAGCCAAGTTTTTGAAACTATGGATCTTGCGCTAAATTTTTTTGGAAAGCCTCCAGCTTTGATCTCTTAATGGCAGATTAAGATCCAAAACATAGTGTAAAAAGTTCTATATTTGTACCTGAGGTGTCATCATTTAAATATGATATGATAATTCAGGATGATCGAATAGCGTCCAGGTCAAACTGTGCTACGGAAAAAAAACCCAAGATGGTGCAAGATTGCAAAAAATACAAACTTAATCAGGAAAGTCCCAAAATAGTGCCTCCAGGTTTATTGAGATTTTAATTTTAAGATTTAAGGTTCCAATGTTCAAAACCTAGAAAATTACCATTTTGTCTCAGGTGTTGGGACACCGGCAATGAAAGCTTCCAATTTCAGGACTCCACCTTCCACAGCAAAGGCATCGCTGAGCTCTTTCTTGAATACAGGAGCCATTGGTTCAGCTGAAACAAGATATCACGCCTTAGTTTCAGAATTTTACAATATAACATTCAAAGTCAATGACTAAAAATATGAGCAGAGCATAGCATTACATAAAATCTGCCTAGGAAATAAATACATTTTAAAAAAAGTTTGCAACAGCAGAAAAAAAATACATTTTTTTCGAGTTAAAAGATAATTTGAAATCAGTGAATCTTGAAAAATAGGAATGATAAATATTTTAAAAAAGTTCTTCTTGTTTTAAAAAATTCTAATTTTTAAAATTCTACTATGACTTAACTACGAATAATCTATGATTAAACTTGGACGATAAAGAAAACTTGAGCGAATCAAAACCCTGAGTTCAATTCTTCAGGACATCACACAGTTGTCCTGCTGACATAAGGGCGCATCTCAATTTCCATGCGAGCTCTATTTCGCAAATAAATCAATGTTTTTTGGGGCTCATACGGGAATCAAGATGCGCCCTTATGTTAGAGGAATGACGACATGAGAGAATATATCTGTAAAAACAACGTCTGTTCCTTAAACTTAAAAAAAAATTAAATAACACCTACGGTTAACTCCTACACCGCATGTGGTGGCACAGTCTCCTGTCTGATTGGTAGCAACTATCTTATAGGAGCCACTGTCTGATGGTACCGTAGATTCTATTTTCAGGAATTGCCAGCCGTCAGGTGTTGACCAGATCTTGACCCGGTCATCTGCTTCTAAAGGCTCGCCATCTTTGAACCTGAAATCGAAAGATAAACATATTTACAGACCATTTCCATGACTTGGCCAAACACAGAATCGAACAAGCACTAAGAGTTCCTGTTCAGAAAAAATACATTATTAAACAACGACAATTCTCCAACAGTTTCAATCATTAATCTTCCAGCATGTTTTAGAGAGAGTAGTTTCTGCAGTTAATTCAAGAATTGACCTTAAAACAGCTTTTTCAAGGTTTACATTTGTCGACATTTTTATCCATTGGTCATGAAAACTCAGATGATGGAAAACTTAAATAGAAAAAAATCTGTACTTTTTAATTTGATTACATTATGTTTTCTGCTTTTTTCTGCTCCCCTGACAACTTTGTAAATTGGATTTTTCCCCTCGATTATTCTTTTTGAAATACTTCTCACTGACTGTGCCTGGTTTTTTTGGCTCCGGGCACCTGAATCAAGCTGACAGCAATTTTTGAAATTAAGAAATTACTGATGAAGATTTGTGAACGTACTTCCATGAGTTTGCATGTCTACATAAGTGCACATTGGAATTTCGGGGTTTTCTTCAGTTTTAACCTTAATTCCTCCATTTTGTTCACTATTATAGCGCATATTCGGTGTACCCAAGATATATGTCATCTAAAAGTTTATGCATTATGTATCTATGTGTATACCTTCATATCTAGAAGTTTGGAAGTTAATGTTAGGAAGATAGAAAATTTACCATTTGATTGAAGGTGCAGGGCTACCATCTGCCTTAGCTCTAAGTTCTAAGGGTTCTTTCTCCGTTAACTCCACCGATCTGCTGAGAGTTGTAGAGAAAGATGGGAGGATATTGAACATTTTCATCCTACAGTTTGACTTAGCCTCACCGGCAATGTTCCATGCTTTGGCAACATACTAAAAAACAAAAAAGAAAAACCTAAGATGAATTAATGGGCAATAAATATTTAAAAAAAACCCCAAAGGATGAGAGCAATTTATTAGTAGTTTACCGATCTGTTAATCTATGAAGGTACATTAGTATTTAAAAGTTTCACCTCAAACTTTGCACAAATGCACAAATGCACAATGGACAAATTGGACATTATTTAGCACCCTAGATGAAACAAAAGAGGGAAAAGTATTTTTTTTAGCTTGACTGCTGTCAACTACAGTCAACGTACAGAAAGCATCCAATCCCGCAATCTGCCGATTATGGGAAAATGAGGCACTGTTTGTGATTTTAAGGAATTTTTAGAAAGCGTTTATCTTTCAGTGAAGGTTTCAAAAGTTTGATGGAAATTTTGAGGAAAATAGAGACTTTTGCAGAAAATTTTAAGGAGATTAAATAAAGATACGTCAAGTATCAGGAGAATTGGCGATGAGAAAAATTTGCTGGTTCGTAAAAGAAGAAATTATGGCAATTTTCACAACCTTCAGCAATTAAATTATAGGATATACTAATTACCTTCAAACAACTTACTGTATGAAGAGCTAAAGCTCTCACTTACCTTGCCAACATTTTTTTCCCTGAAATGTTTGAACGCAAGCGTACTGTTTGTCTGACCTTCATAATCAACTGTTATGGATATATTATCATCTGGAACAACCTCCTCACCATCTTTCCACCTGAAATCATGTAAAAGGTATAAAGAAAGAAGAATTATACTGAAATTATGGGTTTTGTTGAATTAGCCTATCAAAGGAATCAAAGTGATGATCCATCGATATGGGGTCACTCATAATAGACGTAATTGTAACTTTCGGATTTTTCAACCCCTCTCCCCCATTGTAATACTTTTGAAAACAAAAGGGTGGAGAAAGTAGAGAAAAAGTGTAAAAAACACCAACAATGGGCAAGAGACTAGGGATTTCTCTAAGTGTGGTGGTTAAACAAACCTCTAGCACTGAGGTTGACTTTCTGATATACATCGGTACCCTCATTTTTGACACTGAACTTAATATGATCCTCTTTCAATTAAAAGTTCGTAAGCAATGTCAGAATAGTTAAGGTTCAGACAGTGCAGGTCAATCTAATTTATTAGTTTACTGTCAAGGGACTTCTCTGAGGAAGCAATTTAAGTTCAAGAGGCTTGCAACAAAAGAAAGGGACAGATTTATTTGTGAGTAGCAGTGCAAAAACAAGATCTCTTGTAAAGGTACTCACCATGTGATGATTGGTTTTGGAATACCATATGCACGGGCTTTTATCTCAGCATATTCGTAATCTTTGATGGTTTGGTCTTGAAGCACTTTGACAAAAGATGGTTCATCAGCTGAGAAAAAATAAAACACGTTAAAATTGTTGAAAGATTCAAACATTTAAGACCAAAAACAATCGCTAAGAATTCTTTGTCTGCCATAAAAATTAACAAATTTGTTTATCCTTTACTTTTTTTTTTTGTGGGGCAAGATTAGGAAAACAAATGAACTGGCCAAATCATCTGCACTGAGGTTTGAGTTTCTCATTTTCAAAAACAAATAAGTACATAGGCTTTCTGATTACCAGTTTGCCCGATTAATTAATAAGTTTGTAAGTTAAGTAGTGATGGCTTAAATTGAAAATCATAAGTATTATTACGATAATTTTGACGCGTACCTCAATTCTGCCGAGAAAAATCAATGTAGTTGCATAAAAAATACCATCATTTTTCCTCTTTTGAATTTAATTTCTGTCTCCTATTCAGATTCTTTTAATTTTTGATCATGAATTCCTAACGGCCATTTGGCCAGATAAAAGTTGGGTGAAAATTTAAGATCCTTTTAAGTTGTAAAATTGGAAATATTTGTTCCTTTCTCACTTTTGGTTAGGATCTTTTATGTAATACATTGAAATACAGATAAGAAAAAAATGTAAGTAAATAAATAATGTCAAAAATTTACTTTGCACTCTCAGGCGGGCGCTCTTTGTGCTTTCACCAAATTCATTTGTTGCTACGACAGTGTACATGTTTTCATCCGTTCGCTTGGTGTCATTAATTACAAGACTGTAGATTTCTTTTTCTTCATCTCGCTCCGAACGAAGACGTTCATCCGCCTTGATGTCAATCTTCTCATCTTCAATGATCCTAAAAGATAATAATTGGTACATTTTTTAAACAGACCGAGTAAAAATAATAGAGAAACAAAGAGAGTTTAGAGAAAGAATGGAAAAAAAGTAAAAAAAAAATGTACTGTATTGGTTTAAAATTCAGTAGAAATCAATACATGACTTCATTTCCAATTTGAAAAGGGCAAATTTTGGGAAATAAAAAATTAAGATCAACACTTTAGATTTTGAGCGATTACGAAAAAAAAAAAAAATCTGTCAAAATAATCTGCCAAAAATTGATCCATATTGAATATAAATCTACTAAATATGATGCATCGATAGACTATAGAGAGACCATAGAGATCTATCACAAAATTGATCTATCAAAAACTGAGATGATAATAATTGGTACTGTTCTCCATTCTATAAGCTTGTTGCTTTTTTTTTAAAAAAAAAAGTAGCAGCAGCGATTCTTGAAAGTCGGCGACACTGTTTATTCCCCATTTAAATGTATGCAAAACAATCGATTCTTTGGTGAGGCAGCTTGCCTCACCTAAAATCGATATTCTCAATGGATTTAAATGTAGAAAAAACAGTGTTGCCAAATTTCAAGTATCGCCACGGAAAAGTAGTAAGACATAGTCCTCACAAAAAAGGAAGAAGACAAATTAACACTTACCAAGAAATCTCTGGTTTTGGATTAGCGTGAATATGTGCGGAAAGAACCACTTGAGCTTGAGGAGGAGACATAATGTCGCAGAATGTAGTGATCTCTGGTTTGAACACAACATCATAGCGTCCCTGAAGAAGAAAAAGAGAAACATCAATAATAACATTGTATGCATCAGTTGTGCAAAAAGTGTTTGACTGGCTGGTTGCGAGAAAAATGTGAAGGCTCCTGAAAGGGGGGGGAGGGGAAATGTGCCGGCAGTGCTACTTTTTGGGAAGGTAACTATTGAACATGTTATTTAATGTTGAGAAAATAGTGAAGTGCACATTCCTAGGTGACGTAATATGAGGAGAATGGAGTCTTATGTGGGCAGCAATTCGAGGACAGCCTCAAAATATGTGAAGGCTGCCACAGAAAATGTGTGAACAAAAAACTTTCTGTACCCCTGCTTTATATCTTCATTTGTTAATAATAAATTTACAGAAATCTCCAATTAGAAAGATAAAATAAAATACTTTTCAACCAGCGAAGAGACTTTAAATTTTATTGGTCAACTATTTAGAATTTAACTGAATAAAAATTAGAGCTTTACCAACATTTTTTTTGACTATTCATTCAAATTTATGAATCTAAAAATAAAATATATCCAACATATAGCTTTAATTTCGTTGTAATTTTTAATAATAATTAATAATAATAGGTTTTTATAGTTTTAGCTTTAAATTAATTAGAAATACATCACAGGACCCCTGATCATGTTACCGGGATGAGCATTCGCGACTCAAAACGGGACAATAAATTAGTAAAAACAATGCAACTTACGGTCGATTCCCCAATGCCATACTTATTGGTGGCTGTGACGGTATACAAGCCTGTGTCTCTGTGCTCACTTCTTGGAATAGTTAGAGTAACAGTGCATTCTTTCAAGCCGTACTCCTCTTCTTTGACAGTGAAATTGGATTCTGCATGAACTTCCTTACCCTCTCGAGTCCTGAAAATGTTTGAGGCATAAAAATTAGGATTGAAAAAAAATGAGGGTTGAAATAGTAAACTCACGATCAGATAACTATAAAAAACTATACAAGTTTCTGTCTTAGTCAGAAATGCCAATTTAGGCAATCTAGAAATACCAATGCCTACTTAAAACTGAACACCCTTTTTAACTTAAAGTGTTGTAAAAAACCAAAACAAAAAAATTGAGGTACACACAAATAGGAGAAAGAGGTTGAAGTTTTATTTCAGCAAGGCTGATTTCTTTTTCTGGTGGTTGATAAAATGAACATTCAGATAAAGGGGAAAAAAGGTGATGACCGGTTTATCCAAAACTTTGATCAAAAGATTGGATAGTTCACCAAATATTAACTAGAAAGATATATAATGTTTTTCTCTTTATAGAAATAGCAACAGTAAAAAGGTACGAAATTTAGGTTGTATATACTGCAAGAGTAAGTGAAATTAATTAAATGTAATCTTTTAACTAAGGTATTAGTCTCACGACAGTAAGAGGTTGTATTTGAACCAGAAATTAATCAATAGAAATTAAACAAGTAGCGAGAACTTACCACTTGAATTCAGGAATCGGGTCAGCAGTAAAGACAGCAGCAATTGATCCAGATTGATGCTTTGGACATCTGGTGTCTTGAATAGGAACTTTGACTTTCGGACACCGATACAAACTTTCAGCTAATAAATAAAAAATGGGGTAATAGAAAAAGGAGTTTCCCCGAGGAAAGAATTCTGACAGGAAGAGTGATACACTGAGAGCCACGAAACAAAATCTGACGATGGAGAGTTTTATTTCATCATCAATTAAAAGATCAAACCATAACAACATACGCTTTTTTTATGACCATAGAGAAACAAGGTTTCGATACAAGATGAAAGGAATTTTTATTCTTCATCCTCTAAATAAGCGCATTTGTATGCAATGAGACTTTTTGCGATGGATGCCTCCGTTAGAAAAACAGCTTTTGCATAAACATTTCCGATTCAGGAAGTTAAAGGAGCGATTTACTATTTCTTGATCAAATTACTAGAAAACTAAGAATCTATAAAAGAACTTGATATGGTAAAAAATCGTAATTTCTAGGCTATTTTGCGATCAGAGAAGGGCACAAGCAAGATCAAGAATTTCATAAAAAATCAGGGTGGGAGATTGCAAACTCGAAAACTCAATTAAAGAAATGAATTACACAGTATTCGAGATAAAAAAATACCTAGACACTTTTCAAGTGGAATAAAATTAATCAGAATCCTTGAAAACTTTTCCATTTCAATTCGTCGGGAATTAAGAAAGTTCCTTCCAGCCTTATTCTTATGTTTTCAAAAATCCAAGGGCAGTTTTCTGAGAATATTTCGCATTTTATGGTTAAGCATAAACAGAGAATAGGGCAACTTAACTATAACGGGGGAAATGTGTGGATTTGACACATTTCAGCTCAATTGCTGTTCAATTGAAGATTGACTGCTCACTTACACTTCATTGGAGCGAGTGAAAGTTTTTGCAATGCTTACATTTTTAGTTGAAAATTTTCTGTTTAAACATCCTTTCATAAAACAAATCATAAATAAAATCTTACGCAAGATGTTGAGAGTTCCAGATTCCGCAACTTCACCGAGTCTGTTCGTCACTTTGCAGGTGTAGACACCAGCATCAGCCTGTTCTGTAGCCAAAATTTCTAGCCGGTGAGTATCTCCATCTTTCGTTAAGACCGTGTGAGTGTCTGAGGGACTTATCTCTTCACCATCTTTTAACCTGTAGAGATAAAAAAACCTTTTTAAGTTAAAGATGAACCAACTAAAAGGGGTGAAAATGACACTGCAAATAGATCATATTTCTTTATCTTTTGAAAAGTTAAACCCACTCTTACACATAGCTCTCCAGACATCCATCAAAGAGAGCAAATTCTATTACATACTTATTTGGAATTGACCTCAAAGGTACCTTTTTTGAGGTATGAATATACCTGAAATATTTACTCTGTAAAATTCAGCAGTAAGAAAAAAATTAGCAAGAAGGGAAAGTTCTAGTTTTTTTAGTGTGTGTGATTCCTAGAAATTTACTTGTTCTTGATTTCACTTTATTTGCTTTTCAATCATATTCGTAAAACCATTATGGAGAGCAAAAGTCCTTGACAGAGTTTTCACAAAACAATTTAGACTAATTTGGACTAAATTCTTGTCTACTTTCCTTAAAATTACGATTATAGTACTCAAACTCTGATTTGATTCACAAAACAAAGATCTAGATCTTGTATTTGAATGTGTTGGTGCAATAAAACCTGTTAAGAGAAATTGCTTACCATTTCACTTCAGGTCTCGGTTCTGCTGAAGCAACAATTTCAAATTTGTTCGGAAGTGATTCATACACATCTTTGTCTTTCAGTGTTGATGATAAAATTTGAGGCGCAACTGAAAATTAAAAGAACACACAATGAAATCTCTTTCAGAAGTGAGAGAATCTTGGACAATGTTTCTACAGATTTTGAATGATACAGAGAAGAAATCAAAAGGTTTAACGGTTGGCTTCATCTAAAAACCAAACTCTTTTCAAATAGAACTGTCTCTTAACTAAATAAGATGACTCACTTCTTTTAGATTTGCAATTAAGGGGAAAAAGAGTTGATCAGATGTGCTCGTTGCAGAATCGATCTTTGATGGTTTGGTTGAAAGATAGAACCAAATTCCTTCGTCTGATGTTAACAATGATATTGTCCGTCAAAATATAGTAAGTATATGATATCATCAACCATGGTGGTGCATACCGGACACTTGCTTTACTTCCACCTTGGTTTTGTTCATTTTTTACATGCAGCAATCAGTGCAAAGAATCACTGACTGATTGCACTAAGCTGAAAGAAACCATGGTGTGCGTTACCACTATGGACAAAGTCATATGCCGTGCATAGCAATACGTTCATTGATATGGGACATAGAAACTTAGCTTTTGAATAGATCTTTATAATTTTGACTAATCTATCAGCTTAAACCATCAGATGGCAATTCGCAATTCAATTTTTTCCCACAAAAGGAGGTGAACTGATAAAAAACCTTCAGATAAAAAAACCTCACATCCATTCTTTTGAAAGTTGACAGACTTCCTATACTTCATTTATTTAAATTTTTAGATATATGTACACATATATGGCCGAGGTATCTCCGTCTGCAATGTTGTAGAATTCCTGTCTTACTCTATTTTTTCTTTGGAAAACAGGTCAACGTAATTTTTTTATAACTTCCTCGTTTCTTCTCTGTTTGCACAATATTATGCTTAAAATTCAAGGTATGAAATTGGCTTGTTTTTTCTTTTGAGAAAATATGCAAGAGCAAGAATTTTAAAACATCGCAATGGAGATGCGTCGTTGCGCACTTTGGTCAACAACCGGTGATTCTGCAATAGATCAGGGCAATGGTAGATAATAGTAACACACTTTAAGATAAAAACTGATGGACTTGACTTCGATCATATTAACATTTTTCAATGATAATGCTCAGAAAATCGCAATTAAAAGAAAAATCGAGGACATGAAATGTACGTACTTACCAGACAATTAGTAGCAATTTAATTGAAGCTAGGGTCAAAGATGAAAACGGTTTTTCAGACAAGTAATAACAAGGCATGCTAAAAACCACAACTGTAACACACAATAAACGATGAAAACTTGTTAGTTATTCAGCACAGAGAAGTTATTATCAAACAGGAAAAGGGTAGTTAATTGAATGAAACGAAAGTTGAGCACATTAGATAATCGTATTTTTCTTACAAAAACATGAAATCAACATGAAACATTCTGTTTAAGGAGATAAATCAGAACTGCAAAGTTAAGTAAATACCTACTACAAGAACACTGATACTTGACCTACTAGTATCTGAGCTGCAATGAGAAAATTAAATGACTATAAAGCGTTAAACAATGACTATCAAAAGTAGATAGTGAAGCATTATGAATTGAACAGTGAGAAATAATCGATTTTGTAGTGGTTTTATTTTTGTAATGTCTCTATCGGCTACTTTTAGAGTAATGAGTGATCTGCAGTGCTAAGGAAGAACGGCGTATGAGCCCTCAAACGTTGGTTCACCTCTTTTATTAAAAAAAAGAATTTACTGGAAAAGTTGCAAATAATTTTGTTCAAAATTTTCAGACAAATTTTTAGCGATTTAATCTAAAATATCTGAAAATTTCAAGGAAAAATATGCATAACTTCTCTAAAAAATACATGTTTTAACCAGGGAACTTTGGTAACTCTTGAATGCTCATACAGGGTTCTCTCTTAATATGGCAGTAATATCCTTGATGTTTATTGAGAAAGCAGATTTAATTTTTGTTTTCCAGCATCATGTTCACTTAAAGTTGCAAAACCAAAGTTGAAAATATTTTTAAGATGTCAATCTCTGAGAACAACAAAAAGAACAAAATGCGATCCTCATCAAAGGACTCAGAGAATTTTGCAAATTAAAGAAAGATCGTCAACAGAGTTAATAGCATGTTAGATAGATATACATTTTTCGACAATACTTTTAAAAAGCGAATTACTGATGATAAAAAAAAATGAGCTTTTAGGAGTTAAAGATTCTACAGCAATATTCAGAACAATTAACAATTAAAAAGCCATGTATGAAATTTAACTGCTGATAAGAGGTAAGAAGCAACATATTGGCATCTGAAGCTAATATGAAATCAGTTTTCTGAAGATCAAACGAATTTAAAAATCATGAACCATTTTTTTTTGGATGACTGAAAATATTAAATTATTTTTTGTTGGTGAACGACACAAGATCTAATAAAACATTTCAGTGAAAAATATCTCAGATTTGCTTAATTGAGTTTACAAGCAGTTTATAATTCTTTTGATCTTCATAAAATGTCCAAACTTACAGAAATAAAACATTTATTAGAGTATTTTAGGTTGAGTTTTTGAATAAAAGAATATTGTGAATTAATAATGAGCATAAATAAATGGGTAAATGAGAAAAAAAAATTATTTGTACGTGTGCGACGTGAAATTCATACCTTGAGTTTTACTTGGTTTTCTAGTGGTTTCTTGGGGAATATCTGAGTTTTCGTTAATGATATCGTTCAACAGACTTTTTCGCCTCTCGATCTTTTCGATCAAGCTACTTGGAGGTGTTTCATCAGGAATGTTTTCTTTTTCCTCTGGTTTTGACACTGATTTCTTTTTTCCAACTGCGCTTTCCTTCTTTCCAGTTGCTTTATCATCTAAAGAAGATTTTCGTTTCGTCGAGATCTCTGATTTTTCTTTAGTGTCCGGTTCTGTTGACGGCTTCTCGACATCAGAGAGAACATTATTATCTTCTATCTTGGCATCAACTTCAGAGGGTTTTCTGGTTCCCTTACTCAAAGAAAGCTTCTTCTCTAGATTATGTATTTGATCATTTGATATCGAGGAACGGGAGTTCTTCCTAGAATCCTGAGCTGGCTTACTATCCTCATCATTTAGCACTGGTGACCACTCTGCTGGTGAGGTATCTCTGCCATTTATTTCATCTTCTTTCAAAGAAGAAGACTCTCTCTGCAAAGATTTTTCAGAGACGCCCTTCATTTTATTGGGAGATTGCTCTTCACTAGGAGCATATTCTGACTCGTTGAATGACACAGAAGATTTCTTGCGGGGAGCAACATTTTCAACCTCCTCTTTTCCCTTGCTTTCTTCGTCTGAGAACTCAGACCCTCCTGATTCTGAATGGTTTGCAGAACAAGGTTTTTCATCTACATCTTTAATTTTGAGTGTACTTGGAGTAGTTGACTCCTTGTCTACAGGAGTAGACTCAAAGGTGGAAGCACTCAAAGTAGATGAGCGTCTGCTATCAGAGAATACTGGAGACTTTTCTTTGTCATCCTTCAAACCTGATAATCTTCGACTTGAGGGAGAGATCACCTGGGTGTCATCATCTTTCATGACAGATGACCTTCTTTCAGAGGGCTTAACATCATTTGTATCCACTGGTGTACTCTTGAGAGGTTTTTCATTGCCATCTTTGAATACAGACATCCTGCGTTCAGGAGACTTCTCATCACTGAATGTAGCAGATTTGGGTTCCTCGTTATCTTTCAAAACAGACGATCGACGACTGTAAGAGGAGAACTTATCATCATCTTTCAATTCAGATGACCTGCGTTGTAAGGAATTTGGCTTCTCATCGTCATTTGTTAAAATAGATGATCTCCTATCCGGAGACTTAGGTATATCACTGGTATCTTTCAAAATAGACGATCTCCTTCGGATGAATGTAGAGTATGGACTGTCTTCATCATTCTTCGACACAGAGGCTTTTCTAGACCCACCATCTTCAGTCGCAGCGGAGGATCTTCTTCTGTAAGGTTTATCATCATCATTATTCAAGACGGAGGATTTTCTACGAGAATATGGTTTGTCCTCATCATTTTTCAAAATAGACGACCTCCTTCTAGGGGAATAACTCTTGTCGTCATTATCAATGAGAGAGGATTTTCTGGAGGGTGTATCATTATCGCCGGTGCTTAAAACAGATAGCTTTCTTTCACTTGAATCGTCATTTTCTAGAATTGACGATTTCCTCGCTGGGGCAGATTCATCACTGTAAGTTTTCAGAGCGGATGACCTCCTTCTTCCAATAGAGAAGGGTTTATCCTCATCATCCTTTAGGATGGAGGACCTTCGTGACGAATAAGGTTCGTCATCTGTATTCTTCAATGCTGAGGACCTTCTTTCAGTCGAAGTGAAAGGTTTATCTTCATTAATCACAGATGATTGCCTTTGGAATACGGGCTTATCATCTTCCTCTTTCATGACGGAGGACTTCCTTGACAATGGGGTTTTACTTTCATCATCGGCCAAGGCTGATGACCTTCTTCTAGTAGCTGCGGTAGGAGTGTCACTATCATCTTTCAGAATTGATGATCTTCTCCTAATGAATGGTGAATATGGGCTGTCCTCATCGTTTCTTGAAACAGAGGATCTATCAGTAGATGTCTTTCTGGAAAAAGATGGGCTTTCATTTTCATTGTTCAGAACGGATGATCTTCTCCTTTCAGAGGCTGTCATTTCTTTATCATCCAAAATTGAGTCTCTAGAAAGATCTTTTGACAGAGATGAGTTTCTCCTATCTAAGGATGTTGGATGTTTTTCTTCATCATCGAACACTGAGGACTTTCTAGATAATGGCTTGTCATCGACATCTTGTAAAGTTGACGACTTCCTGGATGATGGAGATTTATTATCATCACCTGCATCGTCCAGTAAAGCCGGCTTTCTGGATGCAGAATGTTTTTCGTATTCATTTGACACAACACCATACTTTCTTGATAATGAGGGCGAATCATCTTTTTTTCCTTCATCAAATATTGATGATTTTCTGGAATCAGCTTGTTTGTCATCTCCATTAGTCAAGACAGATGATTTTCTTCTCTCTGACACTGATACTGGTTCTTCATCATTATCATCATTTAAAATTGAAGATTTTCTAATTGTCCTTTCATCATCTGTGAATAAAGATGACTTTCTGCTAGAGGGAGAAAAGGGTTTATCTTCATCATTTAAGATAGATGATTTCCTACGGGAGAAAGGTTTATCTTCATCAGTTAAGATGGAGGATTTTCTGGGAGGGACAGGCTTGTCTTCATCTATTAAAATTGATGATTTTCTGGAGGAGAAAGGTTTATCCTCATCATTTAAAATGGATGATTTCCTGGAAGAGAGAGGTTTATCCTCATCACTTATCATTGAAGATTTTCTAGAGGACAAAGGCTTATCTTCGTCTTTAAGAATTGACGATTTTCTGGAATAAAGAGGTTTATCTTCTTCGGTTAAAATTGATGATTTCCTAGAAGAGAGAGGTTTGTCTTCATCATTGAAAATGGATGATTTCCTAGAAGAGAGAGGTTTATCCTCATCAGTTATCAAAGAAGATTTCCTAGAGGACAAAGGCTTATCTTCGTCTTTCAGAATTGATGATTTCCTGGAAGAGAGAGGTTTGTCTTCATCATTTAAAATGGATGATTTTCTGGAGGAAAGAGGTTTGTCTTCGTCATTTAAGATAGACGATTTTCTAGAGGTTAGAGGTTTATCCTCGTCTTTTAGAATTGATGATTTTCTGGAAGAGAGAGGTTTGTCTTCATCATTTAAAATTGATGATTTCCTGGAAGAAAGAGGTTTGTCTTCATCATTTAAAATGGATGATTTTCTGGAAGAAAGAGGTTTGTCTTCGTCATTTAAAATAGACGATTTTCTAGGGGTTAGAGGTTTATTTTCATCGTTTAAAATGGATGACTTCCTGGATGAGTATGGTTTATTTTCATCAGTTAAAATAGATGATTTTCTAGAAGCCAGAGGTTCATCTTCATCATTTGAGATGGACGAATTTCTGGAGGAAAGAGGTTTATCTTCAAGATCTTTCAAAACTGAAGAGCGTCTTCTGACATGCTCATCATTGCTGTCTTTTGCAAATGATGATTTTCTTGACTGAGAATTTCCTTCATTTTCATTCCTTAAAAGAGATGATCTTCTACTTGTAGTGTTGGATGAGACAGCTGATTTTTCATCATCATTAATGCTGACGGATTTTTTTATGGATGATATCTTCCGGTCACGAGGTCTTGGTCTATCCTCTTCCACAGATGATTTCTTGGGTGTATCGGATTCATTGTTTATGACAGTATTCTTATCATCTTCAAAGACAGATGATGTTTTCCTTGAACGTTTATCACTCTCTTCTACTTCTGAAGATGTTGATGTCCTTTGAGAAGAAAAGACTAGAGGGTTATTTTCTTCGTCATTCAAAATTGATGACCGTTTTCGGTTTAGTAATCTTTCAATGACGGAGGACCTACGTTCTTCATGTTTTTCATTTAGATCCATTGTTTCTTCTGCTTTGCCATTCGTTAGAGGTCCATTAGGTTTGGTTTGTTGTTCATCTTGTGATTCTATCTTCGTAGTTTCATAAACTATGTTTTGATGTTTAGTTTTGCCCGTGGAATTTTCTTCTACTTCCACTCGGCAAACTTTAATATTCTTCACAGAAGAGGATTCATCATTAATGATGAGATCAGACTTGTTGGCTGCTAATGCAGGATGTTCGTCTTCCAAAATAGACCATGAGACTTGCTTCGTTCTTTTGACTGAGTTTTCAAACTCAGGAATATTCTCAAGGGAGTTATCATTGTCCAAACTTATCTGCCGCGAAAAACTTGAATCAGATTCATGGACAGAAACTATTGATACACCTCTTTGAACAGATACTTTGATGATGTGTTCCTCTGCTGGTTCCTCAACGATACCTTTGCTTGAAGAGGCCAAGTCTGTTGAAGTCAATCGTTCATACTGCATTTCTACACAAGAGAATGCGTCCTTCTCGCTCGGAGAGGATGTTCTTGGGTAACTTCCTTCATCGCCTAAGTTCTCGATAATTAATTTTTTTCGCCGCAAAAAACCTGCAATAAGGTCAGTAAAAAGAGACTAAACATTTTTTGGGAGAATAACTTTAGGACTGACACAAACGAACATTAAAACGACGATTTTATGGTTTACTTCTGAAAAGGCAATTTTTTGCATTTGACGAAAATTACTGCGAGTCTAAGTGTTGCATGACATTGTAGATCATGTGCGCTGTGATGTTTTTTGTGTTTTGTTTACTTTAGGAAGTGTAAGGGTGTGTTTTTGAAGACAAAAAATCAACGGAAAAACACAAATGAGCACCAACTAATTTTTCTAATAGCTCAAAAAAACCTTCTGCACAAGTCGAAACATGAAAGATGCTTTGAATCACACCAGAAAAAAATCATTTCTATAATTTCAAAACTCACAAATGTCTGACACATCTAAATTATTTCATACAAAGAAGCTGGCTTGAGAGAACATTCTAGCACGTGAAACACAGCTTAGCTAGGTTTGAGATCTGAGTTTAAACAATCTCAAACCTAGAAACTTTGAGAGAACCACTCAAAGTAAAACAAGATCACATTGAAATACTGACAATAAAGCATGTATAGTATAATGTATCAACGGACTGGTGACTGCTAACAAATGATACATCACATGTATAGCGCTTACATGAAAGTTATGCCGCCTAAATATTTACTCAATTAAAACAGAAAAAATTAACGAAAAGAAAATAAATGAGGAAAAAGTGCCACTTCATGAAATCTGCCCAAACCCGGAAAACCTCTCTAGATACCCAACATCATTCAGTTTTAGTTTGTTTCAAGTAAACTTTTCTCTCTTGAAGTGGTTAAAAAATCTCTAACTCTCATCTCGGGAGATTTTCTTCAAATTAGTTATAAAAAAAATAAAAGTTTCAGCATTTGTTGATTATTAATCATAAAATTTTTCAATGACAACAAAAAGCTCAAAACTCCTCCCTCTGAAAAGAGAGAAAGAGAGAGACAAAAAAGAAAAGTCGTATCTTCCTTTTTCCCACATACTTCCTTCACTAAGTTTAACTCAGAAAAATTTGCACTAACATCAACTTCTAAGAAGCATCAACTCACTCTATGCCTATTCTAGGTCGATGCTGTTGACAGAAAAAAAATCTGAGCGCTTTCAAACTTACCGTCGGGGCCAGTTCTAATGGGCGTCTGTGGCTCTTCAATTTTTGGACTAACTTCATTTTTATCTTCGGTTTTCTCTTTATTGATTTTGTTTTTAATCTTTACTTCCTCATTATTATCTTCTTCTTTGGTGATCTTTTCCGTGAGCTCATCGGTGATTTCCGTGGTACTTTGTTTGCGCACTTCTTCTTCAGTTTTCTCATCAGTTGAGGATTTGGCTAACAGTACAGAACGTTGCTTCAATTTATAACATTAATATGTACAAGATTGAAAACGAGAAATCAGACAGAGAGTTAATGAAGGAGAAGGAGGAGGAAGAGGGAGTAGTTCTTGAAATGAGGTAAAATAATATTTCTGGACGAGGAACACATTCTTCTGAATATTAGTATAGGTTTGTAATTGAATTATGTTCTCTGAAAAGCAGATAATGTAATTTTTAAGATATAATTCCCCAATAAATTAATGCAGCCACTATACATTCCCATTTCAAAATTATTGGTACGTAATTATGATACTAAGACGTAAATTTTTATGAAAAGAAGAAGAGGAAGAAAGACTATGTAAATTGTAAAAATGCCACACATACAGAATATAACTGAGGAGGGTAGTGAAGATCAATCGGTTCCTCAACGGTGGGCAAAATATTTTCATTCAAACCCATTTGTAAAATTGATAACGATTAACAATAAAATTGTGATAGAAAATCAAATAGAATAACCTAAAAATGTATTTCAGAACTTGAGAATCTCTAAAAGGAGGAATAACTCCATTAAATTCGGCAAACCTAATGGTATTACTGCAAGAATAACTTTAATATCAATTAAATTGCTTGAAATTTCAGGGAAGGTCTGGCAAAATGCAGAGCTTCTCAATTTTTCGGGGAAATTTCGGGCTTTAATTTCGAGATCAAGAACCACCTTAAAGACCAAAGACAATTTAATTAAGTGAGAGGAATGGTTAAGGGCACAAGATATTGAAGGTTCAAACTGTAGATAAGAATATTAAGGGAAGGACATTTTTTTTTGGAATGGAAAAATTAGAGGTATTAAGATTCCTCTCATTTAAACTAAATGCAGATATACATATAAATATACGATGGGTCGGAATAATAAGTTGAAAAAAAGAGTTTCACACTTTTCAAATCCTCCGATTGAAAAATTGTTAAACATACAAAGAAATCCAGTCAGAAGATAATTGGAAGAGATGGGGGAAGAAAGTCTTTGGACAGGGAGACAAGTGGGGGACATGTGATGTAAATGAGAACAAAAGTGACGTAAATAATATACTAAGAGGATAAAGTCATGGACAGGGGGCAAGAGGTGAGGAGAAAAATTGGAGAGTGCAAAAGATTCTCAGCAACAAAAGTCTCAATCCAGGAGGACAAGAGCACTACTATAATGGAAATACAACCCTGGAGTCAATGCACAGGAAAAAAGAACCAATTTCTTTAGGGCACGTAAAATATTGGAGGACACTGAAAATATATATATACAGTGGGAAAATAAAAAAGAACCCTTGATACAACATAAATTAAAACTCTAAAGAGGCCCGGAAAAGGGATGCTTCGGCAAAGGGTAAAGGTTCAGTTGTTGAAATCAAAAAACATAAAGTTCCAATAATTATAAGAGAAAAAAAAAGGAAAAAAAAACAACTCAAATTTTATTTACAGAGGACGAAAACCTGAGGGCAGTTTTCATTCAAGTGGGGTCAAACCATTGCAATAAATAGGAATTTCATAAGAAAACAAAATAGGAGCAGATGAACTGTCACCAAGATTCAGAGTCAAAAAAGGAAGAACAGTAATGCAATTACTACGGTTTTTTTCAGCATTAAACTATTATCATAAGGAGAAATATACATAGGAGAAGTCATCTAGTTTGACTTACCTTCAACCATATTACATCTGTCAGTTTTGCAAATGTCATAAAACCGAACAACCTAAAATTGGACGTTTCTGAGCAATGGTTATTACGATGATCATAGCAAATATATAATCACAGCAAATATCAAACCACTGATGACATTTGTGCTAACGGCCATTTTAACTGTAACTGCAAAATATTCAATACATAGCAAAGTGAGTGATGCTAACAATGACAATAATATTGAGATTGAATAGGCAGAATTTTCATATTATACTGCAGAAAATACCTGACCTACTACAAAAGAATCTGATTTTCTTTCTTTTGAACATTAAAGAACTCTCCCTCTTCGATTAGAATAAAAAGAAAAACTTTGTGGTTATGACAAAAGTTTTTCTCCTTTGCTAAAAAGTATTCTACACTAGCAGCTGGCAGAAGAGAAAAAGTAGGTGAAATTTTTAAAGTGAGATTTCAAAATCAGGACTAAAAATTCAAGCAACAGTGCTGAGAGTCATTTTAACGAGTACTATTTATTTAAGTGGGCCATGCTACGACAATTTTTGTGAGCTAATTTGAAAAATTGCACGTGCTTCAATTTTAAATTTACTTCATTAAAAAGTATGAGAGCAAATAGTAGGTTCTAAACATCAGCTGGTTAAAAAGAAAAACTGTGGCGTTACATTAATTTTTTAGGCGCCAGTTTGAATCACAATTTCACATTCTCCAGAACCGACCACGAATTTTTCTGCTACAGTGACCCATTCTCTGAGCAACTTTTATGCATGCTCATGCTCAAAATAGTCCTTTCAGGAGACAGTATGTAGTGTGATCACCCTCTGCTCCGTTTCCAGGAACAAGTACAATTTTATCTGGACTAATAAGTGTGGCTTGCTTGCTTTGAAGCTGATAGGTTATGTCCTGGCTTACATGACACTTGCAAAACGACAGAAGAGAAAAAACTGAAAAAACGAGGAAATGATTAGAAAGACGATTAGAAAAATGTTTTAGTGACATACAATGAACGGTTACGTAGCTCTTGGTGACAGAGGTGCCCATTTCGTTGGTAGCTCGGACTTCGTACTCTCCGCCATCCTCCGACTTGGTGAGAGTGACTGAAAGATTGTATTCCTCTACCCTCTTCTTGTCGCGGGATATAGTGATGCGCGAGTCCCCGGTCACCTCTTGTCCATTTCTGTACCTGCACATTACAATAATTTTTTATTAACTATTGCTAATTTTGCTAGTATTATGGCCAGTAGGGGGCAAATCCCCTGGCAGGAGCAGCCCAACTCCTCTCCTAGGTGCTTTGCACATTATATGAATGAGACCAGGTGACTATTAAGATTGAGATTTTTTTATGCCATTATTATAATTGTGCAAATAAATAAAATAAATGAGAAAGAACTATTGAAATTATGACAGGAAAGGGGGCCAGAAAAAAAAGAGCAAAGGAAGTTGTGGTCATGAGAAGTACAAGCTCAGTAGGAGGACAGATGAAGATGTAGGTCTGAAAGGGAAAAAAGGGTAAATACCGCAGAAGTACAACAGGGATAAAAGGAAGAGCACAGATTGCAATGTGGGACAAGTAATATACTCTTTATGTATCTTGCATTCTGTCTCCGATTTTATACAATATAGTAAGATTTTTTTAACTTCACCTGTCCCAGAGGAGGAGTTGGTCCACTTAAAATCTACTCTTTAATTATTTTACTGTATTTTGATGATTTAAGAGCTCCTGATCTTAACAGACAAAAATCAGGATTTCCCGAATTTGATCATTCAATTTTCAGTTAATCAAATTTGGTCAATCTTTTTCCACAATTCTCCGATTTCATAACAAGAATATCGAATGAAGGATACTGAGCACAGAAAGATCAAAACAGGAACACTTCGTAGATACATACGAATCAAAATTTGTAAAATTTAAAAATTATTTTGTGCACTTGACTTAGACAGTGGACTGACTTGAAAATTTGGTAAACTTACATTTTCGGCAAATATATCTCTGGAAAATTTTCTTGGTTTGGCCAAGAGACTAAGTATATTGACTAAATAGTAGCTGTCAATAGCAAAAGTAGGTGCTGTTCTTATTTTATTGATTTGACGAGTCATTTGAATATATTGATGATTTTCTGCGCTCGGTATGAGGTTTCTTGACAACCAGGGCTACGCCCTAGTTGTTTGTAGAAGTACAAAGCTGTGTAATTTGACAAAACAAGCAAAAAAAAATATAGCAACCGTACCAGGTAATCTCAGGCTCAGGCACACCAAAGCATTCAATGGTTAAATTGAGTGTGTCGCCTTCATCAATCACAAGATCCTCCAGCTCTTTCTTGATTTTAGGTTTACCTGCAGAGAAGAGATGTTAAAATCTTAAATTTACATTGAAAAACAAAGCTTCATGTTCTTGCTTTAGAAATTATTTTTATTGGCGACATGCTATCTGGCAAAAAAAAGAAACAATAGAGCTGAGCAAGGAAAGGAATGGAATCATAGTGTATTAACTTTGAGAATAATTGGTTTACCTTGATAATTTTTTTCATAAAATATTTTCTTTAAATTTTGAAAAATGGAGCAGCCCTGCTGTCAGCAAAGAAAAGAGAAAAAACTTAAACTATAAGTACTATGTGACTCTTTGAGAAATAAAGATAAACAAGAGCAGAGTTCCCGGCTCAAAAATTCCGAACGTGTAATGGTTTCGCAAACTGCCACACGCAGCTAGCACGGATTGCATTAATCTTGTAAAAGCTCGAAGAGCCTTCTGGACGCACTTTTGTTGTCCCTGTACTTTCATCCGAAAGAAACGAATTATCGAACAAATTATTTGAAAATCTGTGTCCATAAATAAAACTTAAGTACCCTTTAACTGAATTTACGATGCGATTTTGATGCGTTTAAGAATCATTGGAAAACTTAAGACACAAGCATAAAACTGAATACAATAATACAGATATATATTTACGGAACGTCCTTCCAAAACCATGTGTTGGGTTTCACTGCTTGTTTTATATTTTTAAAGCAGACCGCACCAAAATTATGCCTTGAGATTTTCACAGAACATACTTCACACAGAGAAAAAAATCACCGAATTTTTCAAGAAATGAAATTCAATAGTTTTCTACATGCAAAATTAAGTACCGCAGAAAATCCGTGACACCGCCAATCGAGATACGTATTTTTGCAGTTACACCATTAATACATAACCTTGACACCAATCATCATACTTACAAATCAGCAATTCAACAAGAAAAATATTTGGAAGAAGGTTAGATTAATTTAAATGTACTTACTTACCAAAAACTCAACTTAAATATGTCAGATTTGATTTTTTTAAAGAATATTTGACTTAATTTCTGAAAACTTACATTTAACAGTTAGGGCGCAGTTAGTTTCTTTTCCACCGAGGTCATTGGATACTTTACATCTGTAGGCACCTGCTTTGTCTATTGTTGCATCCTTCAGAATAAGTTTGTACATTGTAACATTTTCTCTGTCGGGCCCTTCTTCAGTGCGCTCAAACTCTGTGTTTTTCTCGGTGATTTCTACATTGTTGAAGAACCTATAAAAAAAGAAAGATTGTAACTAGTTTTCAGATCTTTTTGGATCAAAATGTTACGGACAAGTTTAAATTTAAAATTTGAGGTTTCTTGGTAATAACTTAGCATAACCTCACAAGAAGCTCATACAAAATACATAAAATCAGGTTGCTAAAAATATGATCTTTCCAATGATGCAAAATGTTTAAAGGTTTTCCTGAATTTTTCAGGAGAAAATTAATTTTAAAAAAACGAGAAAAAGGAAAAATTAGGTGCCGTTGACCCATTATTACGCATTAAACTAATAGACATGCAGACTGCTGTAGGTTTTGCTAGTTTAAAAGAAAATACAAGGAGAAAAAAACGGATATTACTTCATTTCAGTTTACTTGATGAGTTATAATAAGTAGTGTTTGCCAGATTAAAGAAACCATACCTACGCCTTTTGATGTGATGGCTCTCAATAGCAGGAATTGTGATTAAAAATTAGTTCTTATCTAACCAGGACTCACCATCGGACTTTTGGCTTGGGGAATGCTTCAGCTTTGACCATAAACTCAACGTCTGTGTCACCTTCCTTTGCAAAGAAGTCACTTAAAGCATCCCTGTAGATGGGCGCACAGCGTACATTATTTTGACACGTGTTCCAGTTTGTGCCATGGTTGTTAGAAATTTCACAAGTTATTTCACCTGTGTCTGCTCGCGTATTGTTACAAAGCTGCAGGGTATGGAATTCACCATCCACTGAGTATTTCCAGTGGGCATCATCAATGACGATTTCTTGGTCATTGCGCATCCTAAGCGATAGATAGAAAGCGAATATAAGCGATGGATAGAAAGCAAAGATAAGCGAAGAATAGAGAGCAAAGATAAGCAATGGTTAGAAAGTAAAGATAAGCAATAAATCAAAAGCAAAGATAAGCAATAGAAACATGGAATAAAAGATATGATTCTTTCCCTTACATGGCTAGGAGGAGGACTACTTCTTACTCACAAAATGTCTACAAACTTTAAGAAAAAATCATTCTCTCACTTTGGGATATTAACTTTGATCTTAGTTTACTTTATCAACAGTATACCAACATGTACAAAAAGAAAAAAAAGAGCAGCCTTAATGATTAATTTTAAAATCAAGTTCTAACGCTTATATATTCTCATCAAAGTAACAAGCTTCCAAAAACATCTATCTCATGTTTGTGAAACTAAAGAAGAATAAAAATCAAGGAAAAAGAAATATTCCTGATCTTCTTCACAATAGGACATACTTTAAACTTTTTTCCTTTCCCTTCATGTTTGAGGAAAAAATGTTTCGCGAATTTTCTCAAATTTCCAGCCTTGTGGATGCGTTAGAAATACGCTAATTTTTTCTCATCTTGTTTTTCTTTAAAAGAAAAAATATCACAACTTTGGTAAGCTTTTTTATATAGACATGATTCTTTTTGGAAAAAATACACTTAAAAGTGTAACACAGATTAATGCGAGTAGAATGAAATATTTTCAACCATTCATGACATTTAGCACTATGCTCGTGAAAAATACTATTGAAAGAATATAAAAAAATGGCAAAAGATCATAATTACGTCGTTGGAGGTATATTTCTATGATTCGTTCTTCTAGACTAAACTCTTGGGCTTTCAGACCGCAATAAGAGAAAAAATTGGGGGGGGGGAAGGAAGAAAACTAAAAAGAACAATATCACTTCAAATATTTGAAAAATGGTGATGTCAAACAGTTTTGTAGGAATGAATATTGGATAATCGATATTCCAAGTTCTCCTTTGCCAGGTAATTGCCAAAAGTTTTGAAGCGAGAAAAAGAAAATTGATATCTGGAAGCGCTTGGAAAATTTTACAGGTAGTTGACCATTGAGAACTTGAAAAAACTATATGTTTTAGATTAATTTTGTTTTTTCAAGGTTAGGAACAATCAAGGCTCTCACAAACATAGCATTACAGACGATGAAAAAATTTAAAGGAAAATCTCACCATTTAACTTCCGGCTCAGGGTCTCCCTTGACTTTAACTTGGAATGTTACGTTATCGCCTTCTTTCGTGGTCATTGCTTTGGGCATCTCTTTCGTGAATCTTGGACCAGCCATGACTTGGATTTTGCTGAACGCAGAGTCTTGACTGAGCTCATTGGTGGCGATGATTGAATATGAGCCAGTATCTTCCATTGACGCTCTTTGTATGTACAAAGTGTGAGTTGTGCTCTCCTCATCATAAGATAGTTTGACTCGGTCTGACGAGTTTATAACTTTACCATCTTTGTACCTAGAAAAAGATTAACAACCATTGGATTAATAGGTTTTCAGGTACATGCAAAGTATTTTGTCATTACTTGGTTTTCTGAGATTATTTTGTATTCTGTAAACTGTTGTTAAATAGCCCATGCAACAAAATAAAAACAATGGTTTTAAAGATTTTTCAGGATTAATTTTGCAACTTAAGAGTTTTAAACTTTTATCTGTTGCACCATGAGGTTTGTCAGAGGATTTGCGTATTTTCATGAAAAGGAAATTTCTCTATATTAAGGTGGCTCTTCACTTCTTCAGCACTTTGAGTAGCAATTCAATAGTTGATCTGTCAACTGATAATTTCAGAATTATATAAGAAGTCATAATAATTTCCTCTACAAAAGTACGGTCCGAGTGAATATAGTAAATTGCAAGGCAGAACGATTTGCAATATTCACTCTGACCGTATGTTTGGAGTTATTTCGATGTGTTTCTGGGTCAAAATTTGTGTGCAAATATCTATCACACTACAGCCTGATGCGATGGTAAGGAATTCTTAAGAGCCGTCTAAAAATCCAGAGACGATCAAGTAATCAATTGACTAACGAATCGTTCTCTGAAGTGTTGAGGAACCATCTTAATAAACAGACTGAAGTATTGAAATACAAGTAAAAAAATAATTAAACTATTATCACTTTATTCACCTTTTCTTATCTCTTTGAGTTGGAAAAGAAAGTTTGATAAGATATAAATAGATGGCATCGATGACTATTCCGGAAAACCTTTCCTTTTGCTGGCAAATAAAAAAAGCAGAGACAGACGAAATTGTTTAAAGGTAAGTTTAAATCTTCTTACCATATTACTCCTGGAGTTGGAGCACCATCTAAACCAATTGAAAGTTTTATCTCATGGTTCTCCATTATGGTGTGATCTTCCCAGTAACTTCTGAATTTTGCTCCCGCTGAGAAGAAGCAAATTATATCAATTTAAAGTGTACAAACTCAAATTTTTCAGAATTTATCAAAGAATATTGATGAGACAAGTAGGCAATGATTGGACGGCTAGGTGATGACAATTTTTTGGACTTGAATTTGAATTTCATAACTTAATTTGGAGTTGTTAAATTACTTAGATTAGAAAACAGATAAATCTCGATAGTAACTTCCTCAAAAAAGAGAGGAGAGGGTTAATATTTTTCTCCAATCGGCATTCAAATGATTCGGGGTTGAAAAACTGTTAGAAACAACAATTATATTTTATTTTTTGTCTCTCAAAAATATTGGAAACAGTTGAAAATTGGATTATATCCTTGATTTGTGACTTTTAAAATCTATGTCCTTGTTACCATGACTGTCTTAAACACCAGATTTACTTACATTGTATTTGATCCGGAGTCAAAAGGCACTGAGAGGGGCACAACTTAGGTTCTAAGTGGGAACTAGCTCCGAAAAATTCACCTCTAAAATCTACTTTTCTAAGGAGCTTCGAGACAAAAATACACACATGTTCACCGATAAACTGTGATCACTCTTACTTAGAAGAGCCTCAAGGAATGTCCCTGATAATGCCCAGGCACTTTCCTATTCATATACAGAAAACTTGACTTTCCCCGGAAACTTTGATTCCTTGACATGACAAAAATCTTTCTTTAGATCATGAATGCTCTGATGGTTTACTTTTTCTTTTTATTCGGGTCCAGATAAAATTGTAAGAAGGACTGACCTCTGATAACAAGCTTGATGACTTGCGTATCAACACCGGATTCATTATGCGCATTGACCACATAATCTCCCGCATCATCTTGACAAACATTCTTGATAACAAGGGCCATTGTTTCCTCATCCTCCCACAAGAATTTGAATCGACCACCTGCAGTGATTTCTTGACCATCTTTGGACCTGTAAAATTAAACATACTTTTTTTACTACCATATTCTTTTATAACTTATGAGAGGATTCCAAATGATAGGTTTACTTGGTTTGAAAATTAGAATAAACCTCACAAGGTCCTCAAGGTTGGATTTGAGCCCTTCAAAAATTACAGCCTCCAAAATTTCTTTATAAATGTTTCTTTTTTGATGAGTGAGATTTAGAGTGATAAAAAACTACATTTTACAATACAGAACTTCTCCTTCTGACTTATTTTGGAGACAACATAAAACATGGCATTTGTTTTCATACACGGAAAAGTGCTTTTATGGATTAGCTAAAAATAGTAGTTCTTCGTTGAAAAATGAAATGTAATGAATTTAATCATCTGTTCAAGGTTACAACAATAACATATAATTATTCCTACATTCTAGATTTGGTTTGACAAAAATGAATAAATATTATTATTGGTGCATTATGTCGGAATTGAAAGGGTACTTTGCTAAAAATGAATGAAAATATAATTTAAGGGACAAACAAATATGATGCTAAGCAAAAATTATGGTGATTACTTTAAGTGTCAAATATTATATTGAAATTTTTTTTTCCCTTGTTTTTTCTAAATTTTCCAGATTAATTTTTGGACAAATGACCCTGTCTTGTGTCGGTAAAGGCATGAAAAGGACTCATGTTACGCAAGAGACTTTAGACTACCTGAGATCTCTGGTCTAAGTAATGTGACATTATACTGACCACAAATAAACCCTGGATGGATCACCTTTTGATCTTCATTATCATATTACATCATCGCCTAAGTTGTCACCAATTAACAATTCAGAGAGAAGAGCACATTCGCTTGGGGAACTAGAGGGCAATTGCCCTTTAACTTGAGCATAGGACCCAACAGGAACTTCTTACGACAAAATTTTTGAACCCCATTTAGCACATTTTGAAAAATCTTGCAGGGCTACTTAGAGCCTTTTTTGAACTTTTACCTTCTGTATTAGGAGGGGCTTTAGATCCTCTTTTTTATGGAGGCCGCCCTCGGAAAATTTGTTCCTGTTTAGAGACCAGGAAATACTTCATTTAAAGTAAAAAGTCGATGTGCTGTTCACATCAATCAAAAGGTTTTGTACCTGATGGACCCAAGATTAATTGATAGAAAATAAAGTATAAACATTCAACACTTACCATGTGATTTTTGGTTTTGGTGCTCCAGAAATCTTCGCTTCAACCATCGCAGTCTCATCTAGCGTAACTTCAACTCTTTTTTCTACAGGTTTTATCTCAGGTTTGACTGGAGTTCCCGTGAAACTGGAGGCCCCTACACCAAAAATATTAATCAATACAGAGTATCAAAATTGACACAAGCTGAATCAGCTTTTGTTCTGATTTCTGTCAAAAAAATAAAACGCAACAAGTAATCAGGCAATGTGAAAAGCATTTGAACTGGTTTTAGTAATATCAGTCAAGTTGCAGTTCAAAAAAGTAGAGTGTGACACGAAATTTGAGACAATGAAAACTGAAATGAATGCTTCTTTAGGCTCATCATTGATAAGTTCAGATTTCAGAGACCAATTGAAAAATCATAAATAGTTCATCACTTTTTGGAAAAACCTACACAATTTTCACTTCATCTTTCACTGAATGAAGAGTGAGAAGCATAGGAGTTCAGTGCTACCGAAAATTACTTTGTAGCCAAGATTAACGGCTGGGGATTTATGAATTTAAGTGATGGTCTGCCGGCCTTATCCGACACATCTCCTCCCACTGCACTCTCCATTTTTGATGGGGTGCCAATTTCAAGTCGAGGGTAACGATCAACTTGTGAACTACCTTGGACAGTGAGCTCAGCACTGCATGCTATCTTGCCACTGTTGGTTGCAGCAACACAAGTGTAGAGGCCAGCGTCTTCCGGCGTAACATTTTTGAATTCCATCTGGAGGGAATCCTCTTTGTCCTGAAAAAAATAAAGCATACAATGGAGAATTTGCACACACAAATAGTACAGCTTCATCTAAAAGTGCTTAACAAGCTGATTTTGCAGTATTTTTCAAAATAAATTTTGAAATAGGAAACTGTAGAAAAATATATTTAAAAATGAGAAAATGTGCTGCCTTGTGACATCATCTGGCAGCAATTCCCTTTGACACACATGTATTTCAGCAGATAAAGTTATTCTGTCATATTTTCGCCAACAATTGTTCAATTTAGAAACCAAGGATATCCTCCGGTTCAATTCTCATGGCAGATTCATTTTAAACATGAAATTTACAAAATTCCAAGCACCTACACATTCTCCATTATTACATGTTCAAGGAATTGATGTGGATTGACAGATGGACAAAAATTGGATTCAAAAAAGTTTCTGATACATTTCCTTTGGAAACTTTGCAAGGAGACAAATTCACAGTTCAGAGATTGAAAAGTTTTATGCGACTGGAAAAATGCTGTTGAGCTGGGGGGAATTCAAAATAATAAATACATAATCATACGAAAACCTGCAAGTTTCTTATACCTTGTATGCAATGCTGAATCTTTCTTTTGGATCAAATGGCACTCCATCTCGGAACCAAGAGAAGACAGGCTTTTCACCTGGCTGTAAGCCACCGGTCTCAAATTCTGCCCAGATATCTTTATCATCTGTAACAAGAAATCATGTAAAATACAATAAATAGATTTGATACAAGATGTGGGTACCTAACTCATCAGATGGTACCTTAGTTGACATCTTAAGAGACTCGCAATGATGAAGTTAAATTTGTTGAAATTCATAATGATAAGAATCACAGAAATAAAAGATGACAACAGCAACAAGTCACTTCGCAATTTCTTACTGAATAATGAGATGAAAGAATACCACATTGAAAGAAAGAGAATTGAAGTGGTGTGGCTTCCATTCTAAGCACCTAAATATTAGTTGAGAAATTATGCTTGGCCAAATGTTTCAACAGTGCATCACAATAATTTATGCCCCTCTTTTTGCGAAATGTTGAGGAAACTAAAAATTGGTACACAAAGAAGCAAAAGCTTTCAGAACTCACACAGTTCTAGGTTTTGTATCTCTTCAACATAGATGCTGTGAATAGAGTAAATGATGACTGGATCAAGTTTAGCAGAAATGCAACAAGTCGCATCAACTTTGATTTAAGAAAAAGGTTTCAAGTTTTATTCATCCAAAAGACTCCATGTTGAGGACAAATTTTGACGACTATTTTCATATTTAAAATATTTGTTCTCAATTTCGACCTTTTGACAGGAGAAAAACTACTAGTTGAATACACAGGCATCCTCAACTCATTTATTCCTTAAAATATGATACGGTGCACATCAGTTAAACTTGGTCCAATTACTCAATCTCCTAAATTTCTCAGCCTTCGCAAAGATTGTGATTTTATCGCCAAAGGATATTCTTTTGTTTGATGCAATTGCAAGATAGAGTGTTCTTGTAATACTTTCACAGTTTTTGCTGAAAGTAGGAGAGTGAACAAAGGAATTAGATTCAAAATCATACCTGTCACAGACAATTTTGCTTCACAGGATTCTTCTCCGTACTCGTTGCTGGCGATACATTTGTAAGTTCCCGCATCGCTAGGTTTCACGTTCAAAATGACTAATTCATAAAATCCAGAGTCTGATTTGTCTTCGATTATTTTGACGTTTTCTTCAAAATTATGAATCAACTCGCCATTCTTGAAACTGAAAAGGAGGGATTGAATAATTTGTATTACTTACTTGCAGTTTGGAATTTGAAAAAAATAGAAAATTCTATCTTTTTCTAACGCCTATCACAAATTGTGCATAAAATGTGTGTCCTTCTTACAAAGTTGAAGGTAAATAGAAAGCCGTAATATGGGCAAAAAGTTAATATGGCCCCTACAAATTTTTCAATGGCCCCTAAAAATCAAACTCCATGCGCCACATGGCTCCTAAAACTTAAATAAGGTGAGTTTTGAACACTGGACTGAACCAACATCATGACTTTTGAAGTTTTTCCTTATAAAGAGGAGAAAGCCACTGAAATTTTAAAAAAATAACATTCAGCACCTAGTTTTCCATGCAGAAAATAAAGTATGACAGGAAGTCTGGAACGCCGCAAAGCGAGATACGCATCTCTGCAGTTTCACCATTGATAAATTGATCTTGTTAGTGAAATAGATAGCATTTAGCAGAGGGGAGACCAACACGATTACAGTATTGTTTCTTCATCTTCAGCTCAGAACAATGCCTTAAATGGCATAACATTTTCATTATCCTACCAAACAATTGTTGATATTAGAGGGAGACGATCGTGTAAATTTTATTACCGTACATTAACTTGGTATTTCTTACAGCAGTTGTAATTGTGATACAAAAAAAAGACATTTTGAACTTGAGAGAGAGTGGTAATTGGACCGCGTTATACAGAAAGGAACCAAGCCACATCAGCTATTGCCAAATTTAACTGGGCAATTTAATATTTTAAAAGAAAACGATTGTGCAGATTTTCGAGCAAATTTCAGTGAATTCTCTCCATAGTACGAAGCAAATTTCTTAAATTTTCTAACGAATCAGCACAATCGTTTTCTCCTAAAAAATTAAATTGCCCACTTAAATTTGGCAATAGCTGATGTGGCTTGGTTCCTTTCTGTTAAACGCGGTCCAATTTTCCATTAGGATGACTTACAATGTGACACTGGGCATGGGACTTCCTCTAACTTTGATGATGAACCGTAAAAATGTGTTTTCTAAGACTTCAGTGTCCTTTAACCTGACAAGGAAGACCGGATTGTTGCACTCCAGCCGTCTCTTCTTCTCTTCTGGTGTCACTGAGGCAGAAAAAATGAGAAAAATAACAGAAAATAATTTACAAAATAATTTCAAAGGTGAAAAAGAAGAGAGGAGAGGAATTCCGCAGGTTCCGATGCTCCGGAAGAGAGTAGTGACAACTACGTTAGAATTTTGCGATGTAATTTCCTGTATTTTTCAATCCTTCCTCCTCCACTTGTATAATGCTACTTAAGGTGCTTTGTCAAGCTCAAGTGACGTGGTCAAACTGGCATGCGATATATCGTATTGATCAGGTCAAAAATCTTGGCAGATTTTGAATTTTTAGCAAAAAAAAGGACAATAGCCCCTGCGCATGAGCCTGAAGAATTATTCTAAACCCAAAAATCGGAAAAATTCTGAAAAATGAAGGCAGAGTAGTGATTGCAAAAAAACCTAGCATTCGATTCAGCCATCGATTTCTGAATCGAATGCAAGGTTTTTTTGGCAAACACTATACTGCTTTCATTTCTCAGAATTTTTCCGATTTTTGGCTTTAGAATGATTCTTTAGGCTTATGCGCAGGAGCTATCGTCTTTTTATTGCTAAAAATTCAAAATCTGCCGAGATTTTTGACCTGACCAATACGATATATCGCATGCCAGTTTGACCACGTCACTTGAGCTTGACGAATCACCTTAAAAAGCTTACTTCATAATTTATCAACAGATATCTTTTGATGAAATTTGCAGTAGGTATGTTTCCACTGATGATAAATTAACTCATAAAATTACACATCTAAATAAATATATTATACCAAAACTGCTGCACTTTAAATCGGATGAACGAAAATGAGCATGCGCCAAAACGAGACAATCTATGTACATAATAAAAGCAACTAAGTAGTGAGTTCGGTACAATCTTCCCGCATCATATTCCAACCTCAAAAGTTTATTCAAACTTAATTTGAACACAATAGATTTATTTGAGGATAAAATGTCTACGTCCATACGTATTTGAGATGTAAGTACTACAGTCAGCTACGGCATGTGCATGAGTGCGAGGGAAAAAATTTAACTATGTACATTTGATCAGTGGACAATATCTTTGGCTAGTCTGAACTTCACATTTGAAAAAGTAACCATTAAACATACCAACAAATTCTGTTCTTCAAGTGTTTGCTAAAATTTAAATGGAGATGTGACAATCTTAATATCCTTGATATCACACATTACTTTAAATAAATTAGAAATCTGCGTCAAAAAGGATCACGATCACAGTTCGCTTGATTGTTTACAAAATGTTCTCCATGCCGCATTGCCGCCATGCCATGCGTGCTGCGGCGCATGCGCCCTGAGCGCTAAGCGATTCATGAATGAACCATTCAAAACAGAACGGACCAATGAGAGACCAAGAATCCTTCATCGTACGCATCGTAGTACTATGCGTAGTATTTGATAGTATGTGTTGCCAGATCGAATGAGCAAATAACGGTAAATGCTCATTTAGTCGTGAAACTTGATCAAATACCCGATATTTTTATTGGGCTTTCGCAATTTCTCATCTTCCGTGCTCTACTGGCACGAAAACGAAATAAACCTCCTTCACAAACCTATTCTGAAAGGTATTACATGACGTTTTTCGTCGAAATATGAAAAATTCGGTTTCTTTCTGCTGCACCCGACGAAAATACTTACGATTAGCTAGAATGAATAGTTCGTTATCGTCCGGCCAAAGTATCACAAACGCCGTGCGACGTTTAAAAATTTCTGTCGCAATTTTATTTTCTAACATAAAGTTGTTGGTTGAATTTGTTTAAAAAATTCACTGAATTTTATCGGCAGCGCAAAGAAAATTCGGTGAAATTTTCGGACAGCTCCATTGAACAATTTCTCTGTAAAAAAATAAAAATAAAATGGCGGCGGACACTTTTAAACGTTGCATGGCGCTTGTAATACTGTGGCCGGAATGCGATTTAGCCTCCGCACACTGATGTCCTTCTCCTGGCAATTAAACGATTACATTTCGACGGCGTAAGTCGGCAATCACATAACTCGTTTGCGGTGTCTGAAAATCCCCGCCTCTATGTTATTTTTTTAAAGGAGAACAGATTGAAATTATTCCTTGGAGTTTTTACAGAATTTTCTTCGCACAGAGAAGAAAAATCACGGCAGTTTTAAAGAATTGCCGTTGAGTAGTTTCCCGCTTAAAAAGTACCTAAGTATGATAAGGAGTCTGCGATGTCGCAAACAGAGTTATGTGATTGCCGATTTACACCGTCGATTTGGATTAGAGAACCTAGCTCGACAAAAAATCAATCTCCCTCCCCGCCCAAGTAGCATTTCTCAACGGAAAAATCGCGCTTTTATTGCCCGGCAATTTATTGCGATATTTTCGAAATTAAAATCGCGATAAATGGCGATTTAATCTCAATTTTATCGACAAAAATTGATCACGTTTTTAGCGAATCAAAAATTGCGATTTGTAGCGATTTAATCGCCATATATCGCGATTTTGCGATAGTATCTCGATATATTGCCACCGATATAATCGCGATAGCCAACCGATAAAATCGCTATTTATCGCGATCACTACTATTCGGGCGGGGGAAGGGGAGGGCATTAATTTTTTGATTGATTTGATTGATTTTTGCCCCCAATTTGAATCCTAAAATGTCGTGAAATTTTGCACCTCTGTGAGGCTGGTTGGAAAAAAGGCTTACGTTCTTCGACGATGAGTTGGGCCGTGCAAGAGGAGACGGTTCCGGAAGAATCGGAGGCGCGGGCGGTGTAAGTTCCAGAATCGGAGGGCCGAACGTTCATGATCTCCAGTTTGAAGTTGGAGTCCGTGTTGGTCGCCGAAATGCGGTCGGCCAACTTGTCCGAGAGGATTTTGTTGTCCTTCAGCCATGACAAAGTTGTCACCTCCGAGCTGTCGATCGCCACCTCGAACACAGCATTGTCACCGGCTGAAACAAAAAGAAGCCGATCGTCAGTCAACTTTAAAATTGCTTCGTCGTTGTACAGAGTGCTATGCTTACTTACTTTACGCGAATATGCTTTCAATGAATGGAGGGAGCCCTTTCGAAACTGGCGTCGGCAACTTTCAAAACAGCGTTGCCAAAGGTTGTACAGAGTGCTATGCTTACTTACTTTACCCGAACATGTTTTCAATGAATGAAGGGAGCGCCTTCAAAACTGGCGTCTGCAACTTTTAAAACAGCATTACCAAAGGTTGCACAGAGCGCTATTACTTTACTCGAACATGTTTTCAATGAATGAAGGGAGCGCCTTCAAAACTGGCGTCTGCAACTTTTAAAACAGCATTACCAAAGGTTGCACGGAGCGCTATTACTTTACTCGAACATGTTTTCAATGAATGAAGGGAGCGCCTTCAAAACTGGCGTCGGCAACTTTCAAAACAGCATTGCCAAAGGTTAAACGACGAGAAAAATCCGCAAGGAGCATCTTTGAACCCTCACCGACTGCGGGCATCATTGCATTGTCACTCTGGGCTGATTATTGAAACTGATAGACAAAGCGATAGGAAAAGGAGACACGGGGGAAGTTGAGCGTTCTCATACACTAAAAAAAACTTATTTTCAAAAAAGGGAGGATGGAAGGTTTTTGAAGAATCTGACTGTGATTATTTATCAATGATTTGATTTTTAAGATTTTCCCCTTCTAGTTATAGTTCTCTCATGCAAAGGACGAAGAACACAAAATATCCGTCAAAATCATGGGTTCAGACCTTCCGACAGACATACCGAACTTGAAAAGTTGCATCGCACGGAAGTCTGCGGAATGCTGGTAGAGAAATCTGCAATTTTTTTGGTAGAGACGTGTTATTTTTGATAATTTGGGAACACTTTCCAAACAAGGCCGAAAGCGGAAAAGCTAACTAATAACCTGTCTAAGTTTATGATATAGATGACTCGTGGCTTCAGAAATTGGACTTAAGACCGTTTTGACAACTAAAATAACATCATGAAAACCAAACGAACATATTCTCAATTAGAAACATGGATATGCCACCTAAATCTAGTTTTAAACAGTTTTACAAGCCTTGAAGCTTATTTACGGATAAAATCGGCTGAGATTTAAACGGGAACCCGGCAGAATGTCAAGCATTAGCGTTTTGAACGTTCCCTATGGCGACATGCCTGACGCTGCGAGCTAGTCAAAACATTTAAAAGAAAATTGTTGAGGAAGTGTTTCATAAATTTTTTTGTGAAATACTCGTACTTAAATTGAAACTTTCACACACCCACAATGTCCCTAGAGTGAATTAATTCACGTGATGCTTGGCAGTTGACCGCTCTTAATCTTGTCGTAAGCGCTGCCCCGAGAAATATATGTTCAGGTTGATATTAGAAACAGATAAAATTTGACAAGGATTTGGCTGCAATACGGAAACGAGCGCCGGCGCACAGTGCATCGAGTCAATCAGAGAGGTCAGACTTAAAATTTTTAACTAAAACTGCAAATTTTGATATTTAAATCGTCGAATTTTAAATTTTAAGGGGTGCACCTAGAAAAAAATTTCACGAGAAAACCAATGGAGCCACTTTTAAAATCTAAAATTTTTGTATGAACGGAGATATGAGCTTTTAAACTTCCCAAACTTTGTCCGACCTCCCCTATGGACTCGATCCACTTTGCGGCGCGCGCCCATGCTTGGTTAAACGGTACGCCCTGTTTTGGTGCTTGTTTCCGACAATTTTTTCACGGCTCCCATCGTCGCAAAATCGTGGCGCAAATTATTGAAATTTTGGCTCCTACGAAAATTTTCTACGATAATTGGGAGATTTTTAGTAAGAAAATCATGAGTTCAAAATTTCTCCGGAAACACAAGGATGCGATGGATTTGGCTTAAAATCAACTTTCAATCGAAAATAAGCTTTAAAGTTGAGGCTGAGCGCGCGAGAGTAATTATCTCTGCTCTATGAGAGGATTCATATTAACTTGTGACGATCTTATGGAAAAATCAAATTTTTTCAGCGATCATTCTCAGGTTCGATGGAATAATTGGAATTCGAGTTGCCAAGAAGGGTTTCCTCTTACTAAAATCAAGGAGAAATATGCTGATATCGAGAAGAAAAGACGCTCATATCAAGCAGAACTCTATACTTGATTAAAAATGTCTGTATTCTTAAGTCGAATTTATTACCCATTCTTATCTATATCACGACGCACAATATTCAATTAGATCCTTTTTTTACGTCTTTGTCCTCTAAACCGACCTGCCACGTTAGTGTTAGTTTTAAACCCTTTATTTTAAATTTTAGTTTGATCTAAAGAAAATGACTTAGCCATCATCGTTCATCATCATTTAGTAGGTTCTTGACCTTTTCAAGTTTTTAAAGCGACCAGACAGAGAAGAATCTGACTGAATTTTATCTTTGATTCAGAGGGAAATATTGCTTCCGGCAAATTCAAGAATATTTTTCCTTGAATCAAGTCACTTTTTCCAGCTTAAATAACAAATTCAAGACTCTTACGCAAACTCCATTGAAAAAAAAAGAAAAAGAAAAAACTGGCTAAGTTGGCACAGTAGCAAAAGAGTGCGGATTCACAGTGCATTCCAGACTACCTAGGCACCCTACGACTCCCACACGGGCCTGTCGGTAGTGCTTTGACAACAGTGACGTCACGCGGCGCGGCGCTAATCGGCACCGTCTGTCTGCGCCGAATAAACTGACCTTGTTCTCGGTGCACGCGCTTACTTCTGCCGTTTCCGCGTCAAAAGCGTCGTTTTAAATTTGGCCCGACACGCAACCAATCAACGCACTCGATGTTACTGGATCGTCGTGGAGAGGACTCAGGAATTGCGGAAGAGAAAGCAAGCATTGTCGGAAAATGGCAACGCTGCGCCTTCAAAGCGGGAGCTAATTGATTCGCACGAGCAAATTCGCGGCGCTCCATGCGCTAAGCACCCATTACGCGCGTCGTTTGGCATCCCGTGGGCGGAAATCGCGCTTTTGAGCCGGCGCCGCGACGCCCCGCGCCGCCGTGTCGGGAAATGCTTTCCTACCCCAGTGTGATTGAGCACCTATTTACGGAGAGAACGGTCATCCGCGTGCCGCTTTTTGATTGGTCGCGCCAATTAAGGATCGTGTTTTCTGTCGTCCCTTCAACATCTCTTATCCTCAAGCATTGTCTCCACGGGACGGTTCATGGGATTTGTCCCAGGGAAAAATCTCACTTTCTAAGTTGGGAAAAATACTACACAGAAAAATATCACAGGGAAATTTATATGGGAAATATATCACAGTGCCAACTAAGAGTCATTGTGGCGTCCCAGGAACGACTTACAAAGAAGAAGAAGAAAATTTGTTGTGTCCAGAAGGTTCGTTCCTGCGAAGGTTCGAACTTGGGACAAATCTCGCGAAACGTCTCGTGGAAACGAAGCGCTAGAGAGAACACATCGACGATGAAACTATCAGACCACGTATCCCGTTTGCTGGGTTTAAGAAATCTCCGCTCACATTTTATTTTTTTCAAGGGGAACAAATCGATATCATTTTTTGAAATATTTACAAAATTTTCTTCACAGAGAGAGGAAAAGTTGCGGAAGTTTTGAAGAATATTGAGGTTAGGTAGTTTTCCATTAAAAAAAAGAGTGAGATCGGTAGAAAGTCTACAATGCCCAAACCGAGATTTACATGGTCTAGTAGTTTAGTTCCACCGTCGACATATGGTTTACATTACAGCTTTAGGACGCCTTTAAAAATGGCGTCATCAAAATTGAGGAAAATTTTTACGACCCTCCATTTAATATTGTTGAAAATTCAACGGAATAACTTCGGAAGAAGATCCTTGCGAGGAATTACAATGAGGTACTAGAAAAAGTATTGAATATAGTCAAAAATCGAATACCACTAGTGTGTCTCTTGAGTGCCCGTTTTTGCCTATCTCTTGATTGGAAGGCAAGTCTTCTCGCCTTCAAGGTAGCAAAAATACGTTTGAGCACTAACTTTCCAACTTCCATCAAACGCGAACTGATAGTATCAGTAGAACTCGGGATGAGGGGGGGGGGCGTTACGGGACACGAAAAGAGGTTCAAACACTTGTACGTAAATTGATGACACTCAACAGATTGGGAATAAAAAACGGCTATCACGATTTTTTTGTGCCATAAGGGTCAGGACGATTTCAGCGTACCTACTCGGCGGATATCAGAATGACGACAGATTACTCTAAAGAACCTGACAACTCAAACCAGTCTCGCTGTTTCACTTTCATTAGTTTCATTACAAAATACAATTCTAAATTACAAGAAAATGCAGGAGTGCAATAGCAATTATTCAAGTCAACATGAATGTGTTCATTAAACATTGAATCATGTTCGTTGTGAATTTCTCATATTATCATGACTGGCTCTGATGACTGGCCGTCAAAAAATTCGGTATTCACGAATGAAAAATATAATCTTTGCAGGGATATTATGGAAGGAATGCAGGATAAGGCAGCCATGGTATAACCATTCATTTGAAGTTCGACTCTCTATTAACTCAACTTCGATCACTTTTTAGGCATTTTTAAAGATTAATTGGGCTTATTCACTGGAATTGACTTAACTGCATTTCACAGCGCCTAATTTTTTCTGGTGTTGTATTCTTTCAACACAAAACGTAACTCCATGACGCCTTAATTTCTGTGAATTAATTTACACTATGAAGAATATACTCATAAATGAAGTCTTATAGTGTCTTATTTGAAAAAGTAAAACATCGGAGAAAAGTTGGCAATGTATGTATAGTAAGCCTGATTCAGGTTACATCCGTTCCATTAAAGTTACCCTAAATGCAAATTTTACCTTCTTAGACAGCTTCCCTTAAAATCTGACTGAAAATTGTGCCTCTACCTGCTTCTTTCCGATAAAAAAAACTATTTGACTCCTTAAAATTGAACCTATTTCAGTTCCTGTCGAATTATTTTCAACCGCCGTGAGCGAGAGGCTAATTAC